GTGTTATTTAGCAATGGGCTTAAATTAGCATCCGCTAAGTTGAACAACCACATAATTTTTGTTGTTACTTCAACAGTATTGTTTGATAATAGGGTACACATATCTGGTAAGAAAAATATATACATACGTTAATAAAACGAGAAAAAATTAAGCTTTTATAGTGAAATTTGAATTTTTTTAGTAGAATAATTTAAAGAAATAATCTAAAATGAGCAATATGCGTATTTTGTGTAAGCTTATTCGAATTACAGGCGAAATTGTTTCTGCTTTGCCAATGAGACGAACAGAAATTGCATTTTATTTTATTCGAATTGATTCTTACAATATCTTAGAATAGTATGTTCTACGATTAAGCTTGTATTAATTATTAGTATTGGGTTTATTTTAATAGGATATGGTATTTAGGTAAATGTTTTGAAAATAGTGTGTTTCAGGTATACAGAGATTTTGAAGTAATTTACTGTTTCAGAGTTAGAAATGTACATTGTTATCGTATTGATAAAGTTTTTACAGTATTACATCCAGCCTAGATTAAAGAGCCAAGTCAATCCAAAGGGAGTGGTTCGAATATATGCATATTTGAAAACATTATTACGTCTATTATTATTACGTCTACAATCATATTACGTCTACAATCATACATATACGTAACTTGGTCTACGTGTACTTAACCCCTGACCTCACCTCTTGCTTAATCTGCATAGGTAATAATCTTATTTCGCAACTTTTGCCTGATATAAAATGATCTTTAAAACCAAAAGATAGATTTAATGCAATTACAATTCTTCAATGCAATGCTTACATGAAATTATATGGATGAAATTATTTAAATGACGTGTAGGTTATGAAATTAAATAAAATCCTTTTAGTTATACAAAATTAAAACAAAGTTGTAGTTCCAAACATATCTCAATCAACGAAATGAGTACGAGACGACCTTGTTACAGTAAAAATCTACCATGTTGTACCATATTTTTGCAAGGTAAAAATCTTGTGAATTCACATTGCGAAAGCCGGTAAGTCAAAACATTCAAATAAAAATCATGCTAATACATTACACAATAAGAGTTTTTTGGCTTTTCCTAAGTGATCACATTATCAACAGCCGTTTGAATCTTATAGGCAATGCTGATTGAAATATTCTTATACTATTCAATGCTGAAAATGAACAACTTTTAAATCTTGTTTACTTCTAGGTCCACCGAATTTAAACTTTGATTTGAATGTTAGTTAATCCGTGATAGCTCAGCGTCCGGGCGCTTGCCTTTAATTCAATATACTCCAGCAACCTGAGTTTGATCCCCGGTGCCGGCACCAATGAAGTTTTTAACTTTAAGTGCTGACTTATTACGTGCTCCGCGATGAAGGAAAACATCGTAAGGAAACCCGCATATTTTCGAAATAATAACAAAAATATATATATTTCGAAGATATGTGAAGTCCGCCAATCCGCAGTGGGGCCGCGTGGTGGACTATGCCCTGATACCCTCTGTATAGAGGAGGCCTTTGCCCGGCAGTGGGACAGTGGGGTTTATAGGCTGTTACTTTACTTTACTTTTTAATCAGTATAAGAATCTTATTTTCCGATACCAAACGTTGCGTTGTTATATCAAACTATTGTCACTTCTCCCGCAGCCTTGGGAATATTCATTTCTATGACACGATCGGTGTGCTCTGTGACCTTTTTAAGGCGACCTTTCAATCACAATGTAGTAATTGTTCTCGTATACTCCTCTGTTACTAAAAGAGGAATTAATCGTGTACTGATAAATGAGATTTAGCATAGAGTTACTGTGTTTGTAGGGATGTTCCTCAAGGATGTATTTCGGCAAAATTTATGTCCTTGATTTTACGTAAATTATTAACACCATGTTCGTAAGGAATATTTTTTTTTATGTGAGAGAGTGGCAAACTAACTGGCGGTTCACCTGATGTTGGTGCTAACCACCGCCCATGGACATTTGCAACGCCCGCAAGTGCAAATATCACCGCTTATTATTTAGAATTGTGAATTCGTTGTGTCTATATTAAAATTTAAATCATTGGATATCTTAAATGTTATTTGTCTAACCATAGAATATTTCGTAACATATTTTCATAGTTGGGTGTATCATGAGAGACTAAATTGACATTGTCTGGAGGAAAAAACTACCGGTTACGTGTGAAAATTCGAATCTAAGATCTTTTTTAGTTAGTTTAATGTTTGATCTACCAAGGGGCATCATAGTTACTGAGTTTTTTTGTTGATAATGTCTAAAAACAAAATTCAAAGCCCTCTGACTACAAATACTAATACTTTACTTAGTTAAAGCAAAGAAAAATTTTGGTTTGTCCAAAGTTTTGGTTTGTCCGAGGGTACGCATTGATACCCTTGGCGCTTGACTTATCCACATAAAACATCATGAGGGGGAGTTCACGCATCACATTGTTCAAAACCGGATTTACGAAGAAAAGAATTTGATTCTCCTGGTTTTGTTTCACTAGTTCATTGATTACCCTTGCCACTTTCAAAGTTATTTTTTGATAATTTAGAGTTTCTTAACTATGGTGTACAGTACGGCATAAAGTGTTAGTAATTATATATTTGATTATTACTAGAATGTGCTTTTTTGATTCCATTGGTGTCGGTTCCCCTGGTGTTTTACCAGGGTAATCAATTCTTTCCTAATTTCTCTTACAAAATCTTTAATTTTTATTATTATCTTTATTATATTATTTGGAAACAACTTCAAACCGAGACATCATAACACCTTCACCTCAAAGCGTTAGTTGATAGTAGTAAATTTGTTTTTTAATTTTCCATTGTTCAAATGCTGCAATCAAAAGACTGATTAGTTTAAATTGCAGATAAAGCATATAATTAATATAAAATAGTGTATAAATTTGACACTCCTGCCACCTTTTATTGACCTGCCACAAAAATTTTTAAATTCATATATTTTCGGAACGAGTCTACTTGGATAAATGTGTGTACAATTATATGCTATTTTTACAATTACTTTTGGATTCAAAAATAAAGAATAATTAGATTAAAAATCTGCCTGGGGAATCATCTCAATACGCCCGATTTTAAGATACATCGAGTTATTCGAAGATAAATTTAAATAGACTTGGTATCGCAAATGAATTGTGAACATAGATTAAATATATTTTAACAAGAATTGAGCAATTTCTTGTTAATAAATTCAATAAACTTCCATTCCCCGGTTTATCAATGTTTGTTTCGATTGTTTATCATCAGTAGAAGCGCTTAATGTCGAAATATGTACTTACCGTTTAGATATTTTATACAACTAGCATAGTCATAATAAAACAGTGTATAAATTTCTTAAAAACTTTACATTTTTATCAATAAATTGGAGAATTTAAATTCACACAACTCCGACTGAATGCTACAAAATTACATCATTTACTTATATTCTCACAACACAACGACGTCTATATCATGCCGCGCCACGCGTTTACTGGCAGTGTCAGAGTAAAACCTCAAATAGATTACAGTCCTAGGAAGCTAGGACCTTTTGGTTATAAAGTAAGCGTGTGGTGGAACGTGTGTTAGGGAGGAAAGAGAACACTATTCCATGGAAGTGTATACGTGAAAAGGACGTCTAAATACTCAGCTTTTCCGTCGAATTTTGCGTGACGTAACCGCCGCATGATGTCATACAACTTTGCTGCCATTTTACGAAGGCGTCCCGATGTTTTCATTGTGTAAATGTAAACCAAATAAATAGTCTACTACTGAAATTGTATTAGAAAACGATTGTACCAAATACCTAAGTTGACCTATATAAGACTAAAATAAAATTATTATTTTCCTTAAGTAAGAAAGATCTGCCTATTATTATTATTCTCGGCAGATAGGGATGGGTAGTTGAATTGCAAGTTATTAATAATCTGATTAGTTATCTACGATTTCTCGATAAACTGTGTCAAAAAATATATGAAACAAAAATAATCAAAACAACAATTGTTCGAAATGTATCAAATTTATGAAAAAAATAATGAAATTGGATTTGACACTACCACGACACACGTGCTATAATAACGAAGGTTAAACATAAGCAAAGATACGGCTTTAAATGACCTACTCGAGTGCTGCTTATTATTTTTCTTCCAGCTATTTAATAGTTTTAGAGGATGTAATTAACTTCGTTATCATCATCATCATCACCATCATTTCACCCCGTTCAAGTCCACAATGTCCAGGAGTTTTTGTGCTGACCGTCAGGTGTACCGTTTGCTCATTTCTTTCGCGGCCCCATTCATAGAATATCTAAGATTCAACGCCAGCGCCAGCGTGAAGTTGTACATGATCCTTTTTTTAGTCAGTAAAGTGACTATTACACCTACATTTATTTTAAGGATTTTCAACGTATGTACAAACCCTCAGGTGCTGTAGATGTCCATGACGGCGATAGACACTTAGCATCAGGGTTCTAATCCCTAGATGATTTTTATATTACAAACGCAGAGAATGTGGTGTAAAATGTATGATACGACACTGAGATTGTTGAAGAGTAAACGAATAATGAAAAACATTATTTTCTTTATTTATTAAATTCGTAGAAAATTAGCACTTAGTTGGACCCGAATAGGGTTTATATATAATACTTATATACAATTTACTAGACTAGCATCATCGTGTTATTTGTATAAATAGCATTACATAATAATCACTGTATATAATAATAATTTATTAATACTGACCTAATATTGTATAACTTCGACAAATCTAAGCTTGTATATGCACTTAATATACACCCACATTGAAAAGTAGTAAGCCGTTCATAAATATTTACATAATAAACAAGAAATAGATATAGCCATTTCTATAGAAAATTACCAGCATTTAAAGGTATCCTTAGCCTAAATCACATCAATTTCCATATAGCATCATTCAAACTCATCGAAAGGCGATATAAGAAAACGCTGTCCAATTTAGATCCCATCTAGCATAATTAACCAGTCTTCTTCTCGGCAGCTCGCAGCAGAGGTCAGCAGAACACGTACGGCCTCACGCAAATGGGGCATCTGTCGGAGGTCGCCAGGCATCTACGCAGGCAGTCGGCGTGGAAGAAGTGGGCGCAGGGGGTGACCCTGGCCGACTTCATAGAGCCCAAGCACACCGCGCACACGTCCTCGAGAGTGGAGAGCTCCTCGGGGGTGGCCCGCCTAAACTTCGCCAGGGAATCGCACGCCTCGTTCATCTTAACGAGCGCCTCGCCCAACCTATGCCGTCCATGCACGAACACGCACACGTAAAAGACAAGAACCGATAGCCGCCAACGCTCGTTCCACGCCAACGCGGGCACGAGCGGTAGCGCCAGTGCCGTAGTGACCCCCCTGGCCCATACGCCACAATAAAGCGCCTCCATACCCTCCAGCCGTTCCAGCTTCATTGCCGACAGGAGTATGGGCCACAATTCTAAAAAGGTCCTCTCTGTCAGAAGGTAGTAGGTGCCGGTGATGGCTGTGTAAAGCGCCGTAGGTCGGAAATGCTCCAAGCCCTGCTCTAGTCCAAGCGTGAGCAGGATGAAGGTTATGGTCACAATGAAAGTGACCGCTTTGGTCCACTCGAGGACGATCTTCGTGGCCGACATGGCAAGGTGCTTAACGCGGGAGTGTCTGGTGACGTTCACGTATGGCGACCAGTCTTCCTTGGTGCATATCTCGCGAACGTAACTGACGGAGTACGTGATCACGTTGTAGAACATGAGGGAATAGAGGCACGTCAACCGCCCTTGAGACACGAAGAGGCGATCGCAAGCAGTAAACACCAGTAACTGTGAGAGAAAAAAAAACCGTATTAATGACCGTAATTATTAAAGTGATCACCTTGAAGACGTCCACTTAAACGAAGGCCTGCCCCTAATAACGCCACACTGCAAGACTGAAATAAACATAAATTATAATTTAATATAAATAATACGTGGATTTGGTTATTTTCCACACAAAACAATCTCCAAAAGGTAAAAGTAATGTACAAACTGTTAAAAAAATCAGCCACTTCATTCGGGGTAAAGAAGAAGTATTTTGCTTCCTTTTAGAAGTATGGTGACTTAGGCATAAGAAGGCAATTCCCTAAACGGTGGTAAATATCCATGGGTGGCGGTTATTAAGTACATCACTTCGATCTCAACAATATGAATCACCTACTCTTTTGCCATCGTCTCTTAATAAAAACGACGTTAACCAAAGAAACCTAGCTCTGATCAACGAAACAATTCTGATGCTATCAGAATTAGGTTATTGTTGAATGCTATCGGCAGTGAAAAGCCAAAATTTTTTCGAGTAACATTTTTATATTTGAAGCAACTCAAGAGGGTTTAATTAAAATTACGTCTAGCTTTTTTTACCTGGCTGATCATCGTTGAAAGATTGCTCATTTGCAAGAACAATCGCTCGGCACGTTCCAGAGGTGAGTAAGCAGTCTTCATCACTCCCAGGAGACGGGCGCAAGGCGACCGCAGTCTACGCGCGACCTCTGGTAGCAAACATTTCAACATTTAAGAACTTAGTAGACGAACCTTTCGAAGCTGCACTGAATGCAACTGGCAAAACCTTAAACGGCCCGAACGAAATAAATAATTACAATAGTTTTAATTAAAAACTTGGTCGAGGCGGGTTCGATCCCGCAAGGTATAGATTGTTGTTTCGAATGTATGTCGGTGTTTCTTTCATTACCATTAACAAGTAGAATATAATTTAAAAAACTAACAAACCCGACTGCGTTTCTGTGTAATTTTTTATTTTGATATACCCAGTGTCACTCTTACAGTAAATACGAATCTAACGACACCTCTCAAGCCGTTCAGGCTGCAGAGCGTGCCAAACAATTATACATACAAACATATATAAATACATACTCTCGAAAAACATAACCCTCCTTCTGGCGCAGTCGGGTAAAAAGGAGAATTTTATCCTATTTAACGGTAATGTTTAGAAGAAAATGGAATGGTTTAAATTTTAACGAAGATGTTTCAAACTGAGCATTCATCATCCAGAAAACAGCAAGTTATAGTGTAAACTCATCGTCATCCTACATAGCATCGTAGATGGCATGTTCAATCTTTTTTTATACATAAAAAAAAATTTTCGGGACAAATTTTACACAATATTATCTAGTCCCAAACTAAGCAAAGCTTGTACTATGGATGCTAGGTAAGTAATAAATATACTCAAAGGTACTTTTCTTTTGTAAATAAATACTTATTATAGATATATAAACACCCAGACACTAAAAAACACTTTGTTCATCACACAATATTTTTCCAGTAGTGGAGATCGAACCCAAGCCCTCTGGCGCAAGAGTCAGGGCGTATTATCAACTACGCTAATTGGATCGTCAACAATATAAACAAGCAAACAATTTTATCCTACTATGCGTGAAAGGATGTCATCTGTCGTTCATAGGAATATTAATATCAGACTTTGTGATTTCTCGAAACAAATAATGTAAATCGAAAAAAATATTCACACATCGAAATGTGTGGATATATACGAAAGTATTATTACCGACTTAACAGGCCTCGTTAATCAAAATATTTTAGTATACATCCATACTAATATTATAAATGCGAAAGTAACTCTGTCTGTCTGTCTCGCTTTCACGCCGGAACTACTGAAACGATTTAAATGAAATTTGGTACACAGATAGTCTAGAGCCTGAGAAGGGACATAGGCTATTTTTTAATTGGAAAAAGTGTTGTAAATGGTTGAAAATATCATTCTTAGATAAATATACCTATATATTTCTAAAAGAAAGCTAGTACGAAATATATATTGATGACTCGGTGGCGCCGTTGCTAAGCGATTAACTTCGGCGTCGTGGTTCGTGGGTTCGATTCCCACACGGAACAAGTATTTGTGCGACCCACAGGTAATTGTTCTGGATCCGGATGTTGCTTCCCAAGGAGGATTGACGTCAGGCGGGCGGTCGTAAAAAACATAGCCAAAACCAGTTACACATGTTGTGCCAATCCAACCTAGGCGGGATAAGTGCAGGAGGATGATGATGATACATATGAAATCCCTAGTTAATATCTATACAGATAAATAAAATTGGAGTGTCTGTTTGTAATATTAAAATAACCGCTTTTTACTAAATGCATATGGATGTATACACGGTACATAAACCAAAATAACATTTTTTACAATTTCTGTCTGTTTGTTCCAGGTAATCTCTGAAACGGCTGGACTGATTTGGACGGGACTTTCACTGATGTAATTGTAATTGACGTTTCCTGATGTAATAAGGAGTAACTTAGGCTACTTTTATTTTAGATTCTTTTTTTATTTTAAATTCCAAATTTTAGTTATAAATATGACTGTTAGTTTATCTGCTACGCTTTCACGCCAAAAATAACCAACCGATTAGTATGAAACTTTGTACACATATTCTTATATTTATTATTAAAAAGGACATAGGATTATTTTTATTAAAAAAAGGGTGTATGTACTTATGTACACGCGTTAGAAGTTATACTTATTTGGCGTAACAAGATAAAAATCGTATCAAAAATTTTATCTTTCGCCTTATTTTACGTTTGTAGCTAGTAGTATATAAAAAAATGTGAGCATTCACACCTTTTAATAAAATAATCATTCACCCTTTTCTTACAAATCCGTGAGATTTCCATTACGAAATCATTCAGAGGTCAAATTTTGCCTGAAACCGGAGGCGGCACTGGCCGTAACCTTCAGCCGAATGTTCGGTCAAACGTCGGCTTCGATCCCCGAATGTACATAGTGACATCTGACCTATCCTGTAACCAACTCACAATAAAAATTATCTCCAATAAAGACTGTTGAGCAACAGTCCGAAAGCACGCAGAAAGCTGCGTAGGCGACCGGCACCTGTCATAACTCATCTATTCGTTTTTTCCGTTTCATAGAATTTTTTCACTCATTTGCATTAAAGAAATTTTCTTCTTATATATTTTTAAGGCAAAAGCGTAACAATATCGGGAAAGGATTATGCGAAAAGTAAACAACTCAATGGAAATTAAGGAAAGATAGTATAGGTGAATTTATTAAACTTCTAATTTTAAAATCTAATGCATAGCTGTTAAAACTTTAATTTTGGCCTAAAATATGAATGGGAGGTGTTTTATTTTTTTTTATTTTGTGCGAAAAATTGTCAAACGAGCAGACGGTTCACCTGATGTTAAGTGAATACCGCCGCCCACGGATAACTACCATACCCGAGGGTTACAAATGCGTTGACAACCTTTTGAAAATTGGGCTCCGGCTACCTCACTCACCAGACGAAACGCGAAAGTATTTGTCACACTTCCACTTTACGCTGGTCTTCTATGAGGTCGTGGTACTTACCCGGATGAGCCTGCCCATTCGTGCAACAGCCGAGGCTGCTGCGTGGCCCTACCACCGTTAAACACCGGTGTTGAAGAAGAAGTTGTGAAGCTTACACCGGTGTTTAACCGGTGTAAGCTTCGTTCACCAGATACAAATGTAATACAGTGTTTTATCCACAAACAGTAATAATGAAACACATTCTAATAATGTAAAACTCTTAAGGGACGCACTCGTCCCAAAAAGGTTAGTCTCGTTCAAATATAACAAAAAACCGACTTCAATCAGAAAATTAAAAACCTTAATAAATACTTATGATCAAATATAACAATCAATGATTGACCTCGATTTCTCTGGGATGCCATCGTCAGATCCGGGTTTCATTACCATGGTACCAACCTTGGGATATCACCTTTCCGACAAAAAAAGAATCATCAAAATCGGCTCATAAACGACGATGTTATCCGCGAACACACATAAATATATATATATATATATATATACGGTCGAATTGAGAAACCTCCTCCTTTTTTGAAGTCGGTTAAAAAACATAATGATTTTTGTCCAACGATTAGATTTTTATTTAACGAATAACGTATTTAACAGTAAACTAAACAGTGTGTGTATGAACGGCCTCCAAATTTGAGGGTGGCATTTGAACAACGTGTTTTCACCTACTTCTTCAAATAGAGAAAATCGTTACTTTTTTATGTGAGAAGGTAGCAAGCGAGCAGGCGGCACAAGTGTATGTAGTTGCGGTGTGAGTGATAACCGCCACCCATGGACATTTCACATTTGCAACCCCGTAGGCGTAGGGTTGCTGATGCGTTGCCACCTTTTAATTACGTAAGTGTGCCCTGGCAGCCTCACTCACCAGTCGAAATGTAGAAGCAAAACACTTCCACTTCACGCCGGTCTTCTGTAAGGTCGTGGTTCTTACCCGGACGGACGGGCCCATTCGTGCAACAGCGAAGACTGTTGCGTGGCCCTACCACTAATAAGGAACTTTCTTCTACATTTATTGATGGCAAAATGTAAAACGCAGACAATACTAAAAATTAATACAACCTGAAACGAGCAGTCATATTAAGGCCAAAAACACTAAAATCTAGCTTTTTACCAAAAGTTTATTTTTTAAATACCGCTTAAGTACGTAAAAATGATATAAAACAATTAATGAATCATTAATATTTTTTTTATATTATTATTAATATTTTAAAGTGAGTAATAATTTTAATGACACTTCTTAATTCACACCTCTTGGCAGATCAAGACTTTTTGCCTGAAATTATGGACATAGAACAAATATTATTGTATCATTAAAACTTTAATTCGTAATTCAAATGATTTTGTGGCATAAAACAGTCCGCTGATAAACGTCTGTTATCCAGCGCATAATTTTCTTAAGAGAAATGTTTAGTATAAAAGATCAACCCTTGTCCAAGAGAAACCAGTTCAGATCATCCCTCCACAAGCAACAATAAGAATTTCCTCAAATCTCTCTGGTAAGTTTGATAATTCAAATTTTATCCACGTTAACTCCATTTTAATGTTATAGTAATTCTTATGAAACTTTTATACTTTGCTCGTATTCAACACGGCCAATACTAGTAAATGGGTCAGATTTCATGAAGAAATCGAAACGTAAATAGAAAACTGTGTATTAGAATATCCGAAATTATTTACGTTTCGTTACTTAATTAAAATTTTTTTCGTCGTTACTTAATTAGAAATTTATTTAATTAATTACGTTTCAATTTTAATAGATTTGCCGCCAACGAGGGAAAACGCTCTATTATTGTGGCTAAGATAATGGGATAGTCAAAAGTTGAAAGACGTGAACGATTTAAACGTAGATAATGTTTTATTAGAGCTTATTTAAACAAAAGTGAACTCTCCTCTTCGTTTTAATATTCAAGTAGACAACAGAATAATTACACAAACCACAAAAAAATCCACTTGGCTACCATTATCATATTTATCTACTTGAATCTTGTAATCATTTTCAATTGGCTTAAGTTTGAAAATAAATTCGATAAGTTTTAAAAGTAGGAAAAATTACACATTATAATTGTGTACGTTAAAAAAAAATAAAAATGTATTAACGTTATCTAACAAAATGTTAGATTACAGAATTCTATGAAAAAAAGCACAAAAATTATTATGATAAAATTAGAAAGAAAATTACGAAAAGCTTTTTTCGTTATAATTTGATTACGATTCGATCGGCAGCGGCACGGTTGTTTTTCACGTTGTAGAATGTTTGTAGAATGTTGCGGACAAAAGGCAATCACCGGAAAAACGTACTGCTCGACCACATGTTTTTGTTTAGATACAGAAAATAAATATGCGCGATTTAATGACGCACGCCCACTGGCCGCGGGCCAGTTTCCGTTGCCTCATTCAGCTTCACACCGGCAATGACCCGACAAAAGGCGGGAACACGAACGAGCAAACATAACCAAAAACATAGGGAACATGAGGAATTGACCCAAACCGAAATAATGGAGTTCAAGTTATAAATATAACTACTTTAAAATTTATAACTAATACCTTATAATAATGAACTTCATATTTATCTCAATGCTCGCCAATTGGAAGATTACAATTTGCCTTTATTTGAATAGGAATAACTTTTTCATTTTTACATCATAACAATGCCGATAACTTAATGTATTCTCGAAAGTGATCATGTTCCTTAAAATGCAACAAATATGATGAACGCAATAGAAAGTTTGGCTCATGCATCATGTTCAAATGCGTTTCATCAAAATATTTATCACTTGAAAATTGATGGTGCAATAATATTAATGTTTTTTGTATGTGTATTGCTCTGTATGTACGTCGACATTGGGTAGCGGTTTTTCATCTCCAAGGTTAATGTAGGATAACATCATTCTGTTTGTAGAGGTGATTTATAATGCCCTGATCTGGAGCAACAAACGTAAGTCACACAAGCACTTGACCTGGACTGGAATCGAAGCCGCTACCAGTGGTAACGATGCCTTTAGCGTAGCAACTAGGCTGTCCGTCCGTCCGTCATTTACATCATTTTTATTTATATAAATTTTATGTTTATTTCTAAATCAGATGTAAACGTATACAGAATTTGAGAGTTAAAAGATTCGACAAATAGAAGAATAATCGATTCTTCTTGTATGAAGATGGATTTGATATTATACCTTCTCTAATATTTTGACGTATAATGGAGGCGTCAAATCGGTTTCCAGAAAGAAGAAACCAATTTGGCACAATACGTTGTTTACTAGCTACGTTTATACAAAATTTGTTTATCCTACGCACTGATGTTGGTATGACGTACCTACTAAAGATACGCATTTAAAAAAAAAGTTAAATTAGTCATTGAATTGAAGATTATTTTCAATAAAGAATCAGGTTTTTTAACCTTAGATATTTTTTTAATATAGTGTCGATAAGGCGGCGTGGTAAAACTCCTAGACGTTATTATAATGACGTGCATTTACATACCTTGGGCGAGTTTCACAACAGCGGGATACCATCTTGCTGGGTAGCGGTAGTTAGCCGATATCAGAACGGGCACCACTAAACAAGTGTAAGCTGCCATCAACCAAGCCCCACCTAACGCAACCAATAGCCCTCGCGGCGCCCAATATGGCAGCAGAAGCACCAAAGATAACAACCACACTGAAAGAAAGATTAAAACTTTCCGTTCTTAAATTTTGTATGGTGCGCAAATTATTCAAAACTCACAAAAGATCATCAATTCAGATTAATAACCAAACAGATAAATAACTAACATCAATTCAAAGTTAAACAAAGGTATACACAAACAGGTAAACTTAAAATTAGCAAAGCAACCTTGATAATGAAAATATATATTATCGTCAATAGCATTGAAAGAAATATTTCCATGCGTTGTCCCAGTACTTCCCCTTTAAGGCATAATTAAAATTAAAACTACGTACCAATGTTTGCAATCTTGTCTTCCGATTTCATCGTATGAAACTTCGAGAAAGAATCACTTCTTATGCGGCTGCGCACTCGCGAAATCATACCCATTATGAAGCTTATATTTCTTCTATATTCTAATGTATACCACTACACACACTAAAATAATGTTTTCTCAATATCAATGTAGTCTAAGATGTTAAAATTCAAAGCTCGTTGTATTAAGTCTGTATCCTATGAAATCTCACACACGAATGACAACAATATGCGATTTACTCTTGGGCGGGCGGCCCATGCGCAGACGTTTTGTTTTCTTCGTACGTGCCAATTGAATTTATTTATTTTAATTCGCATAGCCAACTTCGAATCCATGTCGGAAAGACGTATTGAATATTAAGAGAAATGAAATTCGGATATCTCGTAAAAGACCCCTGATATACAGTTAATAATGCGCTTGATGACGTCACAGTTTAAATATAATTTAGAGCCAGTGACTTGAAGTACAGGAGCCTCTTGAATTTTATTGCCCACGCCATTTCCATTTTTACGACTGTTCCTCAATTTATTTACACACGCGTGCGTTCTTTTAAATGTTCCCTAATTTTTTTTAGATTAATCCCTGCACTATTATAAAAAAATATAAAACGATAACTGTATTACGTATGTATTTAATTATATCCTTCTAAGATATAATTAAAAATTTTAAGAAGACCACAAAAACAAATTAAAGCAAAAACATCTGATTTATTTTTTTATCATGATGTCCAATGCAAGGTAGAGTAGAAGCGTTCACCTTACGATTTTGCGGTGAACCAATAAATGATCCCAAATATTCAAAAATACGCGCATCGCACTACTACTATTTCTTCAAAGTAGTAGTTTATCAAAGAGGCGGGAAAACAAATAAGCGGAATAGCTAGACATGAATGAAAAATACAGAATACGAAAAAAGTATGATCACTCAGTATACAAATAAACTCATTTATTGGCAAGGGTAATTCTAGTAATTCTATCAATAAAATAACCTAGTATACAAACGCGTTACGAACAATGTTACATATACCTAACTAAAACACTGATTGTTTGCTCTAAATATCTAATTCAATATTCCGTTTATTATCCATTTTATACCAAATGTATATATTTTTATTGTAAGATTTTGTTGCAAAGCCAGTAGCTTTATAATGTTGTTTATTCCAATTGAGAAATATTTAGTTATACGAACTTTGTACCTTTTCACTCTTTACAGATTTAGCTCGTCTAATTTTGGAACATTTAATAGTTCATTCATGAACATTTGACGTGTTCATTGAAATGTTGACTCTTGGGGTATAAATAGAGACTGACTTGCTATGAAATTTTCTCTTGGATTTTGAGGATAAGTTTTATGAAACGTTTCACATAAAATTCGAAAATATTTTATTAATAATCATACTTCATAATAACCTGATCTGGTAGACGCTATAAGCATTTTATGATATTAAAACATGGAACTTGAAATTTCATGTATGCAAACGATATTGTTAATATTTAACATATTTACGGATTTCTCTTAATAAAGAAAATAGGAACGACATATCCTTGATGACTTTTCTACTACACTAAACTTCAAACGTCAAACACTTCACTACCCTCTCAACGCGACTTCGCCTATATTTCACCTGTAAATTATGGCTTGGATTCCAAGCCATAATTTCTAAAGCTAGGTTTCAATTTTAGAAAATTGTCCTTTTATCCCTGTTTTCAGGAAATGAAAAATATCATTCGAATATGACGGTAAATTTCGCCGCAAATTAAAATGTTATAATAGCTCGGTCGGTAATCGGGCGGCCCCAAAACAGACGGCCGTGGGTCGTGTCACGATCATTTACACACTCTTTTTTTTATTCCAGATTTCATTACTCAGTAATTTGTATCTAAATGTAATTTCCAAAATACACGATTTACAAAAAAAAAAAAAAAAACAAACGGAGCAAAGCTACCACGTCCACCAGGTACTATTTCCTAAACATTCGATTTAACAAAAGACCATCAACTAACCGAACTTGCCTTTCAATATAGTCCCACAAATATCCTTCCTACATTTATTATAAAAGAGAAATCTATTTCATAATGGAAAATTCTTAATCTACTTACTTTTCTAGGGGAACCGTTCTACATCTTCAAGAATCTTTGATATCTTCAAGGCACTACATAAAGTCTGCTGCTCGAAAACAATTTTAGGAAATCCGTCATATACTAATAATATAGTATGTAGTAGTTGTGGGTTCGATCCCCACTACTGAAAAATATTGTATGATGAACATAGTTTTTTTTCAGTGTCTGGGTGTTTATACAGCGTGTCGTTACAACCGCGACAATAAATGAACACACGTATAGACGATAACTTTTTAAAATTGTATTAAGCATTTACTATTATTCTTTAAACATCAGTATTTATTAAATTTAACAAAACAAACATTTTTAGAACAACCTTATGTATAAAACTGTAACATAAAGTTCATTTGTAAAGGTCACTAAGCATATGAATGGGCTGAATGAATTTAAAAGAAATAAAACATACTGTACATAAACATACTTAGAAGGAGAGACTTTTATTGCGACGTTGTGGCAACGAATGAAAAGTCTCTGAATGTATGAATCAGTCAGTTGTAGTCGTATAGGATGTTACAAATTTTGTTTCCTTTGTATTTAATTAGTTTATTTGAAAAATATATTTCTTAAATTATGGATTTTTTTAACGTTTCATATTTTTTTATGATTATTGGCAAGTAGCGTTAAACGTGTGTTCATTTATTGTCCCGATTGTAACGACACGCTGTATATGCATAATTTGTATTTATTTACAACAGAAAAGTATGATTATCAGTTATCTAGTGCCTAAAATACAAGCGTTGCCTAAATTGGGACAAAAGAACGTTGTGTAAAAATGTGTCCTAAAGTATTTATTTATTAATTTATTGTTTATAGTAGCTTTTGCAAGCCATATAGTATTCTCCCTTAGAATTTCACCTAAAGATATTTATTTACGTTTCATTTCAATTTATCACTTTTCACTACAGAACTCCGAGGAAAATGCACCTTCTTCCCTACTTCCTGATTATCGCCGGCAGCGTATGCCTGGCTCACTATAGAGGGGGATACGAGAGTCACAATCTGATAGAGCGTGAGGAACCTCATGATAATCCAGACGGGTAAACATTCCTCGTTGTGTTTTTAGTTCTAAGGGATTGCAATTGAGTAAGGGGTTCACCTGATGTTAAGAGAGGACCACAGCCCATGGACACTGATAACACCTGTTATGTTCCAGCAGGGTTGTCAAGCACTAAGAGTGTGCGGATCTGGACGTACCGTACTCACGAACAAGCTAAGTGAATACAGGGTGGCTTTTCTAAGTCTATCCATTTTTTTAAATTGAATTCTAGAATGTTACTATGTTATATAAAAAAAAATGATCAATATTTTTAATCACTCGTAAGTAATTAATTACATTCATTTGAACTTATCTCAAAAATTGCGTGTTTTATACGCAACTCGTTTATTTTACGCGCGATCATTCATAACTAACACGCACACATGTTCGTGCACAGTAAAACTTAGGTATTTATGAATGACTACCGCATTGTTGACAATGCGGTAGTCATTTCGTTCTGTTTTTAGGGAATAGAATGGCATTTTTTTGGAAAAAAAAACTTTGTATTTTATTTCAATAAACGATTATACTACCGAGTTTGAACCTCTTGTGTAAATTATAGTAATTAAGTAGTGTGTAAATTAGGGCACTTCTCAAAAAATCTCCCTGTATACTTCAAAACGGTTTTCTGTAAGTTGATATTATCTCCCCGGCAATGTTGTTTGTGTTTCAAGATCTGTTATGTAAGTTGTTACCGCTCCACGACGAGCTCACTAGAAAGATGAACCAAACGCTTAATATATATATGTATAACGCTGGGGATCTGTACTCTCTGTATGGACGTTATAAAGGTTTCATATGTCGTTCTCGGGATAAGCATCCAAAAGTCACTACGGTAAATCCGAATCGGAAAATCTGCTTAGTCGATGATGATGAATGATGAAAATGATCGATGAATAGTACTTCCTACAATGTTCAAAAGTCTGGAATAAATTAGCATTAAAAACTATCAACTTCTTTAATTGTGGTATAGCCATATCAGTTTCTGCTGTTGGATAAATGTTTATACCTTGTTAAATGTTTTTTTCTGGTGAGTAAAGTATCTGGGGCGAACCGTCTTAAAGCTGGCACCACAACTGAAACCCTACGGATGTTGTAGATATCCCATGCCGCCTTCGCTCATAAGAAAATGATGTTTAAGTACGCTTTTACCAGCTTTTTAAACAACTAATTTCTTTGTTTGTAGAGACTCAACATCTTGGTTCTAATACCCAAGATTTTGAGTCTCTAAGTCTTATCAAAAGTACAGAAAACTTTATTGATGCATTTTAATATATTTTTTTATGTTTTTAAATAATATAGGGTCCTCGTTGAATGTCCGGTTTGCGAGACTACCAGCTTACTACCTAGCCGCGAAGAATGCAACATTGTGCGTGGCAACAAGAAGTACAAGAAATGCGAATTCGGAACGTACATCAACGAGGTTTGCGGCAACCGACGCGATTGTTACAGGGTACTTATGTATTCTTATTTCATATAATAAGTTACAAACATTAACTTTTATTAGGTACTAGTTTTGACTACACGGACGGCGGTAAATCTATAATAGTTGATGTGGTCTCTTTCCAATCGCCATTATGCGATGTGTACAAGTATGTCGCGTTTTCTATCAGAATGTACTCTCTGCTGTAAATAATGTGATTCTTTTCAAGATCATACTATTTATGTTCTTATCTGTAAAGTTTGCTTTAATCCACAAGAAATACGCAATATAATTTGAAAAAGCACATGTCACATGATATAATGTTATTTCATCAAGAACACCGGCCCGCGGCAGTCCTCTGTTGGACGTAGGTCTCTCTGACTCTGAAGGCTCATTATTTAGCACGATCTTTGACTATGCCACCGGCAGCCTCGTGCAAATCTTGATTACATCTTTCCTGACTGCCTTTACTAAGATGCTCTACTGAAAAGCATTAATTTACATAAACGAAAGCAGTATTCTTATATCAGACCCAATTATTTACCCGTTGCAAATAAGCAAACGCACTTTATGCTTTAATTATAATTAAAATTTCATTCAGGGCCCTGGACAACAGTGTACTGAGAAAATGGGGTTCGACGTATACGGACAAAAATGCGCCCACGGTTATTATTGCGACAACACCTTCAACGTTTGCACAGGATTGGGGTACACCATTGACAGCCATCTGCAATGGCTCCTGAACTACGTATATCGCTACCCGTTACACGATGAGAAGGACCTAAACAAGCCTAAATCATCAGTAATGATAATCGCGTGAGAATATAAAAACAATTAACGTAACATGGAACCCACCGAACTAATGCCCTTAATTGTTAATATAATATAATATAACAGTAAGCATGCACCATTATTTATATTAATAAACGGTAAATTGGAACACCGCATAATATTTTTTACTAACACTTAATTCCCTAATCCTAATTTATTTTTAAGTGTAACGTAAGTAACAACTTTTTTATCCAGCAAGTTGCATGCATACCGCAACTAGGTTTTTATGGATATCATGTTGCTTTGAAATAAAATTTTAATTCATGAATACAAACCATTTACAATGAACATCTTTTTAAAAAAATTAAAAATTAGGTAGACGGATAGGTACTTAACAGTTAACCTTTGTCATTGTGATTAAAACCAAAGAGCTTTCTTGTATTCTTGTATTAACTGTCTGTGTTATCCGGCGGGACCCCCGGCGGTGGGTCCATCGTATCCAAGTCCTCTTCGTCGACCGAGTCGATGAGAACGTTTCGCGGGCGACGCTTGTTTACGTTCGCGTTAGTGTCCGGTTGGTAGTTTGCTGCGCTTACCACCAGAGGGTTGGGATGATGCTGGGCTCTATCGAAGAACCGTTTTGTCAAATCTTTAAAATGTGCGCGAATCGTCGGGAGTCTGCAATCGCTGTGCATGTCGACGTTGCGCTGATACCAATGCGCACCGGTTGCGCGGCGGATAAACTTATTTTGTACTATTTGCAGCTTGTACAAGCGAGTAGGGTGCGTGTGGGCGAAGATCATGCATGCGTAGGACATAATAGGTCGTACGCAGGTTTTATATAATAATAATTTGTGCCTTAAGGGCATTTTACTTTTAGTGTAAGTTAAATTGTGTAGCCGGCCGGAGACGAACGCGGCTCTATTACGAACGTTATTAATGTGCGTAGTAAATGACATACGCGAGTCGAAAGTGACTCCTAACTATTTGACCTTTTTCTCCCAGGGGAGCGGTTGGCCAGAAAGGGATATTTGCCCCAACTTTCTGCATTGGCGAGGACCATTATAAAGATGTGACGGGTAGGTACTTCGTGTGAAGTGAATCGCCACACTCTTTTCGGGATTTATTTCTATTCTCCATTTGCGGAACCAATCGCCGAGGCGGTCGGCGGCGCTTTGGAGTCGAGTGGTTAGTATTCTAAGGTTGCGGTGTAAATAAAAGAGCGCGGTGTCATCCGCGAAAAGCGCGAGATTGACGTGGGGGTCTTTGGGTATGTCGCTCGTGTAGAGCGTAAAGAGCAAAGATGAGATGCAGGAGCCTTGTGGTACGCCGGCCGTGAGGCGGCGGCTTGTAAAGCAAGCCGTTGTGTCAGATTTTGTCGAATGCTTTTGCGACATCGAAGAAGAGAGCCCCTGTGCTGATGTGTTTGGGGTGGTTTAGGCCTTTAAGGATGTGCTCCGTTAGGCGGTATAGCTGGTCGGGACAAGAGTGTCTAGCTCGAAAGCCGAATTGTTCCGTCGGCCGTTGGAAAAACACGTGCTCTTTGAGCCTGTTTAACAAGAGCCGCTCGTAGAGCTTCCCCAGGCAACTGAGGAGGCTGATGAGGCGATAGCTAGAGGGCTGATTAGCTGGTTTATTCGGCTTGCGAATGCCGATAACCGTGGCTTGCTTCCAGTCGTCCGGAAAGGAGCAACTGGAGAGAACGGTATTGAAAATGGTCGCCAGTGAACAGATAAGCGGCCCAGGGAGAGCTTTGAGACCTTTATTACTTATATTATCTGGGCCCGGGGCGGATTTTGGCTTTAAATTTTTAATAATATCTTGGACCTCTTCGGGGGTCTCTGAATTTAAAAGTTCGCCTTCCGGTGGAAGCGCAGCCCTAGTCTAGATTACGTGGTCCGCCTCCGTTAGGTGGACTGAATCGGTGTGTTCGCGCGATGGCGTACATTGCTGCTCTAGGTTGTCCGCAAGGCATTCGGCTTTTTCGGAGTCATCTAGGGCTACTGAAGCGCTATTAGGTCTAACTAACGGCGGTAGAGATTCGCGGGGGTCTGCTTTCAGACTGCGGGCCAACCGCCAGAAGGCGGTGTGCGATGGCTCGATGTCCTCTAGGAGAGTGTCCCACGTTGTGTGTCGGTGTTCCGATACACGATCTTTGACTTCTAGCTGAAGGCGTCGAAGTAGGGTTCGGTTCGATTCCGATCGGTATCGGTCGAAGGCGCGTTTGGCTGCATCTTTCTGTCTAATTAGTAGTCTTAGGTCGGAAAGTTAAACCGTCGGTCGCCCGACAGTTTCACCGTCCATTCCGAGTCTGTGACTGCGGAAGTAATAGTTTCTCGGAGACTCGCTATCGCTCGATTTGCGTCATCGAACGTAGCTATCGTCTCGGGTAAGTCTACTAAGTCCTGGGGGTCCAAGGCCTTGAGTTTGACCTCAAGACGATGCCAGTCCACTACGGATTTGGTCAGAGGGACCGCGCCGGCGTTCTGGCCCAGTTTACACAGGACGGGCCTGTGGTCTGAGTCTAGTTCATGGATTGTCTCTATCGACTCGATGTCGAGCGAGACCTCCCTGAATAACATGATGTCTAGGACACTCGGTGACGCGTGTTGGTAGTTGTCCACCGTAGGATACCTAGTGGGAGTCGGGAGCGACTATGCTAAAGTTTAGGTTATCGGATAAGCTAAAGAGATGCTTTCCGTTGTTATTGGGGATGCTGTTGGTGTCCCATGAGCCGTGTTTGCAGTTTAGATCTCAATCAGTTCAGATGCAATTATCACGGAAGGGCCTAAGTTAAGAAGCGTATCTAGGTCGCTTTGAAGTAAGGTTCTATTCCCCGAGAGGTAGGCTGAGACTAGTACAAGCGGCCTGTGGCCGGTGAGCGCTAACCTACACGCGGATGCCTCTATTTGACTTAGCTCTGGAATGTCGAGCGGGCAATAGTGCAAGGACCGTTTATAATAAATTAACGTGCCTCCCAGACGGTTTGCTAACCGGTCGTGGCGGACAATATTGTAATTTGCGATTCTGGGATCGCGTACACTAGGTTTCAAGAATGTCTCTTGCACTAGAAAAATATCTACGTTGTAGTTGCGAAGGAATTCCGCGATTTCGTCCCTTTGACCCTTTATGCCGTTTGCGTTGAAATACGAAACAACCAGAGCCCGAGGTTTTGCTCTACCTGCGGTTGTACTTCCCATTAAGGTGTTTTTATGGGTCTAATTAACGACGCGGCGGAGCGCGGTTTTATTGCGCGGACTATTGTCTTTTATGGTTGGCTCGTAAAAGCCCAAAGGGCTTCCACAAGCGTTTTATGTTGGCAAATTGCCCTAAGGCGGTCGTTGCCAGATGTGGCGGCCGCTATTTTAGCGGACAATACGGCGAGTTCCTGCCTCTTGATCCTATCTAATAGGCTGCAGATGTTTGCGATTTGCGCGAATGGGTCGTCCTTGTTTTCCGCGAAAACTGACGGAGTTGACTGCACCTGCGGCCGCGACGCCGTTTGAGAGGCGGGCAGCTGTTGTGCGATCGGTCGTGAGGCGACCGGGATTACCGGCGTGGTTACCTGCGCGGCCACCTGGGGTTTCGCCCAGGCGTTAGTGACGGGTACGGGCGCGAGAACGTATTTAACGGGCGCGGGTTTTGGCAACGTAGATTTCGCGGGAGATTTTCTCGCGGGAGTTTTCGGGGCTTTAGCGCAGCCTCTATAACTAGCCGGGTGGCCGGTAGCGTGACAGTTTACGCAGTCCGGTGGATCTGCGCAATCTTTTGGCCTCGTGCACTCGGTTGTGCCGTGGTCACCGGTGCATTTGACGCACCTAGGGTGAGCGAAGCAATTATTGGCCGTGTGGCCAAAATGTTGACAGTTGTGGCACTGTGCCACAACACCTGATTTGCGCGGGGCCTCGATGACTAAGTCACTGAGCCCACAGACCCTCTTTAGGTTGAAGATGGCCTTACCTTCCTGGGTAGGGTCAAGTTCAACCATGACCATGTCTATAGGGACGCGGGTTCTGGGGTGCCTAAGACGTCGCACTGCATGTACGGGGTATCCCTGAGTGCGGATGTCGACTTTAGCCTTATCGACATCCGACTCTTTGGGGACGCCCTTTATTACTACCCGAAGTTTACGCTCTTCGGGCAACGAGTAGGTGTGAAAACCTACCTTATTTTCGCGTAAATACTTGGTTACGTGGCGGAAACCGTCTGTTGTGTCCAGGTATACGCGGATACCCATGTGTGTATTTTTTGACCGGAGGTCGCGGATGTTGTGGCGTTCAAACCACGAGCATACTTGATGCCACTTTGCCTTTTCTTGAATAATTATTGGCGGCGGTGGCTTAATTTTTCGCTCGGAGGCGAATTCGGGTACCAATTGGGCAGCCGCGGCTGCCTTTTTGGCGGGCGTTGCGGTGGGATGGTTAGATGGGGCGGCCTCGCATTCGGGGTCGCTGTCAGTTGCAGGGCGTTTTTTGCCCTTTTTGCGCGACTTTACGACGGTGAAGCCGTCGGCGTTCGCGTTATCAGCGGGGGTCGTTTCGACCTCCATGTCCGAGCCGCCGTCCGATTGTGAGTCGGGAACGACATCGTGGAAGGGGGCCGAAATTGGTTGCGCGGAAGGCGCGTTGGGTTCGTTCGCGGCGGCGGAAGTCGACGCGACGGGCGTTACTAGTGTCGCAGAAGGCGACTCATTAGCTTTAGGCGCAGAGGGCACCGGAGATGGCGGTGAGGCGACTGCCGGTGAAGTCGGGTTGTCACTAGCGTATTCGTCGACGCGGCGTTTCTCCGCGGTGAAGGCGAGAAAGCTGCGCCACATTTCGGGGCATCGTTCGCGAATGAATTCCTCTAAGAGGGAACCCATAACGGCGCTTGAACCTTTGGGGCTTGCGCCCCGCCGGCGTGTAGTTTCTAAATAGGCCTCCCCACCTTGCGGCAGGGAGGTGTGTGTGCCTAAAACTAACAACTATTTCACTTGCGCTTTAGTGCGCTAGGGTGGGTACCTAGCTGTCGCCTATCGCAACAAGCACACAGTTATTAAGTAAAACAATGCCGCCTCTGAGGCGAGAAGTGTATATGGAATTCTACTTACAGAACAGGAACCTGCCTACGAGCACAACACTACACTAACACTAAACTGCAGCACTGCTTGCACAAAGATTTAATTTGCAACCGAAGTTGCGAGTAGCGTCTAATTCGGGTGGCATGAGCCCTCCGTCTTAGAGAGAGGTCCGTTCCGTACGAGAGCACGAAACGGAATCACCAAAAAGCATGTACCGTAATAGAGGATGAAATAAAAAAGCACATTTTTTTTATTTGTTTAAGTTTAACGCACATTTTAATTATTTAAGTCCTGACATAACAAAATGCCACAATCATAGAAAAAAAAAATCTGTGACCACGGTCCAAAGAGTACATTATTAATATAAAGTCATCTGTCCCTTTCGTGAGACAGCGCCATCTCTTGATGCGGGAACGAACTACAAGTTCAGATGTTTATAACCTGTACTAATTAACCATTTTGTTTTCACAGTTGAGAGCTGTATTCAACACAATACAGTTTTCAATATAGTGTATATAAAATTTATTTTATTTATATTTGATAACATTTTATAGAAAACTGTAATTGGATACAAGCTTGCTAGATGTTACTTTTGGATAAAGTAAATAAAATACAGAAATATGTCTTGCGGACTCTTTCGTTTTTTATAATATTCACTCGCTATTTTTTTATAATCTTTTTAATGAATGATTTCGAGTCTGGTGCCGTTTAGTAAATTATTTACCTTAAATTATTTTTGACTATCCAAAATCAGTAAATTTCCTCCAATCGATTGAATCCATCCAAAATCCATTTTAAATCAGTCATTATCATTTTCAGGTGGGAAAAAAAATGCTAATTTGCGTTGCAGTCTTTACCTGTAAATACAATATAAATGTTTTGCCGAAACGTATAACAAAATAAAATGATGAATAATGAAAGATAACCGAATAAAATACCAACTGCTGAAAAAAAACTAAAGTATTTCAAAAACCTCCTAAAATCCACTGTTTTCAAAAAAAAACTTCCTAAATGAAAAAAGTCACTTTTTTTAAAACTATCTTACAAGCTACAATAACTATCGGAAAATTTAATTATCTGGGTAATCAAAACTGTTTTATTTAAAAATTAACTTAATTAATATACTTGACCTTGAACATTGTTTATTGACTTGAAAAATATTTATACAAATTAAATACATTGTATTGTGACGTTATAATAATTTTCATTATTTTTAAGAGTCAGACTGAGAATGAGCTAACTCCATACAAATATCAAATGTATGGACTGAAAAGACCGTGCCACGGTCTATTCAGTCCATACCGTTTAGTTCCGTCCGTCGAAAACAGATGGCGTTGTTTTAAATGCAAAACTATTTTAACCTTGGTACCATTCAATTAAAAATGTACTATTATTTACAATTAATTTACTATGAAACAAAATTTTATTTTAAGTTAAGATAAATTAAAAAAATTATGTTTGGTTCTTATTTTGGAGAAAATTGTATTTTTTAAACAAAAATTATTAATTTGACAAAAAAAAAACACAAAATATAATGTAAGAGTATTGGCAGCATAAGCCTATGTAGTATTTTAAAATGTTCCCCCATAAACTCTTATTGCGAATATACGGCTACTCAAAATATATTAAATTCATTTAATAAGTAATATAAAATGCTAAATGGTGAGAAAATTGCCATCGGATATGTTCAAAAATATGGAGCTAAGTGGGAAAAAGACAATAAGTTTAAAGGTAGGTATGTTTCATTCAGATCGTTTATAATTGAATGATACTTATTCCCATTATTTATTGTCTGATATTTAAAAGTAATGAAAATAATTATAACACAATAAAATGTATTTAATTCGTATAAATATTTTTCAAGTCAATGAACAATGTTCAAGGTCAAGTATAATAATTAAGTTAATTTTTAAATAAAACAGTTTTGATTACCCAGATAATTAAATTTTCCGATAATTATTCTAGCCTGTTAGATAATTTAAAAAAAGGTGACTTTTTCATTTAAGAATTTTTTATTTGAAAACAGTGGATTTTAGGTTTTTGAATTTTTTGGAGTTTTTAACAGTTATGATAGACATAGACATAGAACAGGTAACATTGATTACTGCGGCCGGTTATTATTCATTTATTTTATTCGGTTATCTTTCATTATTCATCATTTTATTTTGTTATACGTTACGGCAAAACATTAATATTGTATTTACAGGTAAAGACTGCAACGCAAATTTCCATTCTGTTTCTCACCTGAAAGTGATAGTGACAGATTTAAAACATGGATTCAATCGATTGGAGGAAATTTATTGATTTTGGATAGCCAAAAATAATTTATTGTAAATAATTTACTAAACGGCACCAGACTCAAAATCATTCATAACAAAGATTATTAAAGAAAAATAGCGAGTGAATATTATAAAAAACGAACTAAAGTTCGCAAAACATATTTCTGTATTTTATTTACTTTATCCAATGGAGGGTAGAATAAGGAGGACCGTCTCGTATGGGGGGTTAGTCGAAAAAGTGTCCACTTGTAAACAGCAAATTATGTGTTCCGTTTGACGTCCGAAGTCTATTATGAGAGGGCATCGCCTTTTTCTTCGCCTTGTCGCTAGAAGTCGCTACTTTACCGTCACGTGACCGCGCCTTTGGCGCCACTAGCGGCTTAATCTGGAACTAACTTTAAACAGCCGCAGCACAGCAAGCCTCCGTTTTGAAGTCATTGTTGCGTCGTTTTTCAAACCGCATGGTCGTTAGTTTTTCATTAAAATCAAACTCCCTTTAATTTTGATTTTACTATTTTATATTAAAATTTTAAACTTTCGAGATTAAAGTAGAAAGTTATTCGATCCAAGTTATTTAAAACCGTTACGTAAAATTAAAATGGGCAATGAGGAGAAAATTTTCGAACCACCCGCGGATATGCGTCGCGATCCCGCGCGTTTGCAAGAGGATGCGGCCGTATCGTCGTGCGATTCGGGGTCATCGAGTTCAAGTTCGACTTCGAACGAGGATGAACATCTGCCACCCAAGAAACGGCGCCACCGTCGTGACAGCCGCAGTCGATCTCGCGACTCCATGCGAGAAATGGAACTAAGGTTTGAATATCTCTCGCAACAGTTGGTGAGTCACGTTAATAATATTATGAGCGCAAATTACGCTGGCATACAACCCAATTCATCCTTTTCCGTCTCTGTGCCGGCACCTGGAGCGAATAATAATGTATTAGATGATCCATTTTTACTACCCTCCGGAGCAGTTAATGATATTGTTGAACTAGGTGTTTCTGTTAAAGAACCGACCGTACCAAAAGCAAACCCGGACAGGGTTTACTAAGTTGGCTTCTATGCAAAGGTTCGACTCCCCAGACTGGAACACTGTGCGGTATACCGAGGCCTAAAAGAAATATGCTGCCTTTCCAGCGTTCACAGAGCTCAAAGTAAATGAGGAGTTGAGACATCTAGAAGATCCGCATGCTCCGCATAGGTGGTTTCAGATGGAAAGAAGTTTTGCCGCTTTGTCAAACGCCTTTTTGGCGCAGAATGAGTTTGTTAATTTAGCGCTGCGTAATTTGATTGACTGGTCTACGAAACCAGACATGCAATTAACTTCATCTTCAATATACCATAAATTGAAGGATTTTTTTGGAAATGAATCTGATTATAAAACCGTTTCGCATGACATTCTACAAATAATTTGTGGAAAACGGGCAGAGGTTTTAGAAATGCGGCGAAAGGCGCTTCTTAAAGGATTAAAAGGAAATTATATAAGAGAAGATATGGAAAAAATTCCGCCCTCCATAGATTACATGTTCAATCCTCAGGGTTTAACTGCTTATTTACAAAAAATCGGGAGTATAAGTAAATTAGACAGAGATAGTGTGGCACAACCTAAATCTATAGTGCATTTAAAATCGCCAGGTCGTTGTAAATCACCGGTAGCTTCTACTTCTCGTGACAAGTCCGTTTCCAACAAAATAAACAAAAACCAGGAAAAAATAGGAAACGAAATTTTGACGAACACGACAAAAAGAAAAAGGGTGGGCGAAAGGATCAGCACAATAAAATTAGGCACAAGTGACTCGAGTCGGTTTTCCGGCGGCTGTTTGAGACTTTACCAAAAAGTATGGGCCAAATTGGAACCACCCAAAACAATTATAAAATTAATTTCGGCTGCCCGAATACCTTTCAGCCAGACGCCGCCATTAATCTTTCCAACATCGGAGATATTGCAAAGATTTCAGACTCCGAGTTCCGTAATAATGTCTTCAGAAATGCAGGCAAATTCATGATTACAAACCGAATCCTCGAACCAGCACCTTTAACTCCGTCGTTCATATCCCCACTTTTTATCATAACGAAAAACAACCGAAAAAATCGCGTGATCTTCAATTTGAAGGCCTTAAATCAATTTATGAAACCAAAGCATTTTCACCTGTTTCATCATCACAGAATGCAAAGTTTTTTACAAACGAGCGATTGGATGGTGAAGCTCGACCTAAGTCAAGCATATTATCATCTGCCGATAATGCAAAGTCACCGTTGCTTTTTACGTGTCAGTTACCAAGGCCGGTTGCTACAGATGACATGTCTACCCTTTGGGCTTGCAGCGGCGCCGAGAATGTTTGCAACTGTCAGAAATTGGACTGCAGAAATATTACGCAGGAGGGGTCTTCGCCTGGTGATATACTTAGACGATTATATAATACTCCATCAACACAGAGAGACGCTGAAAACTCATGTTCACGCACGACATGTTAGAGTTTCTCACAAGTCTAGGTTGGAATATCAACATGGAAAAATCTATACTCAGCCCGACAAGATCTATAGAGTTCCTTGGAATCGTCTGGGATACGCAGAACAACACCAAGAGTCTACCTCTAGACAAGGTGAGGAAAGTCCGCCAATATATAATAACTCGCTTAACAGCAGGCAGTTGGACCCTCAAGCAGGCGCAACGCCTCTTAGGGTATCTCAACTTTGCGACCTTCATCACCCTCCGGGGAAGGTTGCATTGCCGTACGCTGCAGCGCCACAGCAATCTTCTACGAAAAAACCCACGCCGGAACAGTATGTTCAGAGACGAGGTACGAAGAGAGCTAGAATGGTGGCTAGACAATATCGATCAGAAGACTCAAATTCACCCCAGAAAGTTACCAGTCAATTACATCGTAACAGATGCCTCAGACATTCAGTGGGGAGCTTTAGTAAACAGCAACACACTGAAAGGCAGTTGGCATTGCAATCTAAAAGAGATGTACGCAGTGATAGCTGCCATCTCGTCACAAGCGAAATTGTAGTATCGTATATAAGGAACGAGGGTGGAACAAGGTCTCGAAAGCTTTTGCAGTTGACCAAACACCTCCTGAAGCTCAAGGACAGCCCGAAAGTTGTACTGTGCCCTCACCACCTACCGCGACTGTACAACACGGAAGCCGATCACCTCTCGCGCAATCGCGCCGGCTCCGAGTGGCATCTTCTGAGCAAGGGAACGTCGAAGGTATTCAAGCAGTGGGGAACACCGACCTAGACCTATTCGCCTCAAAAGACGCCCACGTTGTGCAAAGGTATGTTTCGCTAGACTTATCAGACTCGAACGCTGACTTTCACAACGCTTTCAGCAGATGCTGGATATACGATTTGGCGTGGATCTTTCCTCCACCAAGTCTGCTCCCACGGGTGCTACACCATCTCAACTCTGCAAAAGGCAAGTTCGTAGTCATAAGCCCCAAGTGGAAGAAACCTTTTTGGCGCCCAGATCTGAAGAGCCGCGCCCTGGCACGTCCCATGAAAATACGGAACCTGAGTGTATCATTATTGGACACGGTCACAGGTAGCCCTCCAGCTCAAGTGCACAACCTACAGCTGGAAGCTTGGCTAATTTCGGCTAGGACTCCTTGACAGCATCTTGGTCCCCTGAAGAAAAGCAGCTTCTGTCGATGTGTTGGAGGGCTTCTACACTTAAAACTTACACCCCCATATGGAAAAAATGGTCACAGTGGTGTAATCAACATAACCTGAACTGTCGGCGTCCGGCACCTGCCGAAGTAGCTCGATACTTAGCAAAACTATTTCTTACTGATAGACTCGCATACCGTACTATTCTTGTGCATAAATCAGTTCTAGCATCAGTTTGTGAGACACTATCCGATATTAAAATATCATCGAATAAGTTGGTTAAGCATATATTAAAAGCAGTGTCGGTGGCACGAAAACTTCCACCAAAATTGCCAATATGGGATGCAAGAATTGTAATTCAGTTCTTAAAAAATACAACTCCGGATTTTCTTAGTCTATATGACGTTTCGAGACGTACGGCCACAATTCTTTTGTTGGCCTCGAGTCGTCGAGTTCACGATTTGACTCTTTTACATTGTGACTCTAAACATCTGGTTGATCAAGGGGACTCAATAACCTTGCATCCTGTATTTGGTTCCAAAACTGACTCAGCATCGTACCAACAGTCTAGTTGGACTTTACTAGAATCACCGGATAGAAATACAAATCCTTTGTTTTGGTTAAGAAAGTTGATTAATGTATCAAAAAATATTAGAGGTTCTCTGACAAATTTATTTATAACGACTAGGGAACCTCGTAGACCAGCTACAGCTGTCATAATAGGTGGTTGGGTAAGGCGAACTCTTTCTGAGGCCGGAATAGAGGCTACGCCCGGAAGCTTTAGGTCAGCAGTCTCATCTTTAAACTGTCTTGAAAAGTACCCTATAAACGATATTTTAGCTAAGGCTAACTGGCGTCATGAAAATACTTTTAGAAATTATTACTGTAAAGATGTTGATGATAGAGGCCTTAACAATAAGTCAGAGAAATCACTTTAATTAATGTTAATTAATGATTTGGGAAATGCTTTTATAATTTGTTATTAAAACCAAGAAGTATATTTTAGAATTAAATCAACCATGCTGTTGATTTTATTTCTTAGGATTTCTTTATGAATAAAAAATAAAGAAGAATAAAGCAGTATAGAAGTATAGAGAATAGTTTGTTTTCATTGTAAAATCAATATAATCACATTGTTGCTTTTATTATGCAAGCCACCAGGAGATAACAAACATGTCTCTCATAATGGACTTCGGACGTCAAACGGAACACATAATATAGAAATTTTACCTTAAAATAAAATTTTTATTATGTTTCCTGAGACGTCCGAAGTCCAAATAATGTCTTCCTGGTGTTACACTCATACCATCATTCATATCATTATGAGTCGAACAATGACTTCAAAACGGAGGCTTGCTGTGCTGCGGCTGTTTAAAGTTAGTTCCAGATTAAGCCGCTAGTGGCGCCAAAGGCGCGGTCACGTGCCGGTAAAATAGCGACATCTAGCGACAAGGCGAAGAAAAAGGCGATGCCCTCTCATAATGGACTTCGGACGTCTCAGGAAACATAATAAAAATTTTATTTTAAGGTAAAATTTCTATATTATTCTTCGAACTCTCACCGAAATAGCGTTAGTGTAGTAAGTGGAAATTATATGAACTTAGCAGTTATAAGCAGAGTGAAGTGTGCTGGGTTGAAAAATTTAATATTTCTCTTGACTTCTGTAGTTAAGAAATATGCAGTATTTAAAATCTCAACTATTTACGTAGTCAACTGTAATTTAGTAAATAATAACCTATGAAACTCCTGAAACCTGAAATAACGTGCATAGTGATTTGCTTTTTATTATTATCCTACTCTAATAATTTGTGGCGCTCTATTTAAAATTCTTCCACTTGCTACTATAGCGCCACCTTAATTTGCTCCCTTTCAACGGACACTTTTTAATACACTGAGATGGTCCTCCTTACTTCTACCCTCCATACTTTATCCAAAAATAATATCTAGCAAGCTTGTATCCAATTACAGTTTTCTATACAATGTTATCAAATATAAATTAAATAAATTTCATATACAGTATATAGAAAACTGTACTTGAATACAGCTCTCAACTGTAAAAACAAAATGGTTAATTAGTCTATGTTATATACAGTTATATATTTTAGTTCGGTCCCGCATCAAGAGATGGCGCTGTCTCACGAGGAGACTGATGACTATATTAATAATTTACTTGTACTCTCTTTGGTCCTAACTTTCGGCGAAAGCATAGATTAGGACATAGATACTGAAAGGTTAAAAAAAGGGGCGAAAGGTTAAAAATCTTTGTCCAAGAGCAAGACGTGAGTGTCTGCAAATGTGTCCAGAAACTTAGAGGGTTTCTATCAGTGAATTTCAATAACGATACAAAAGATGTTAAGGGATGCAATGTATTATACATATAAACCTTCGTCTTTATCACTCTATTTGAAAAAACCGCAACAAGATCTGTTGCGTATTTTTAAAGATATAAGCATATATAGGGACAGACAGACAGCGGGACGACTTTGCTTTATACTATTTTTATGATGTGATAATCTTCACAGTAAAATATTACAACCGTATAATTTTAATCTATATAATTTCCCTCAATCTTAAATGCAAACAATATAGTAGGTAGCAGTATATTAATTAAATTTAGGATTTGCACTATGTTCGCGCTGTATTAGTTAGAAACCGTATCCTCTGTGTAACGCGTCTAGACGGTCGGCCAACTGAGCTAAGCGGTCGATATCTTGATACGCCAAATTTTCTACAATTTTCTATTGTTTACTTTGCACCTAACCTATCTAAACCACCAAATAATAATAATGATATGGCGCGGTAATGTTATGTATATTTTAATCAGTGCTCTCTAAATTTTTTATGTGGGTTCGAAATTCAAAATGACCAGATGGGCTAACCACAATAACCCAACGGGGTGCAGGTTGAGTGTAGCTAATACAGATCCACATAAGAATAACAAGATATATAAAGATCCCTAACAATTAAACTGTGAGAAAATATGACATTTTTCGTCAAATATAACAATGTTTGTATTATGTTTTAAAGACATTGTATCGGTTATGCCATCTTTGCTCATATCACTAATCCACAAATGTGAAGAGAAACAAGTGTAGGCGTTCGCGTTTAACAAATGTTTTTTTATTTTTATAAACATTTGTACACAATCATGTGTCTGGGCTGGGACCGGCTTTAGAAAAAAGAAATTGTCTCTGACAAGGGATTTCCTCTATCTATGCTATATCAATCAAATTCAATCTTCGATCGATCGGCGACATTAAAATTAGATAGCAGCAACAGATTGACAAAACATTGAAAAACGATTTACAATTTTAAACCACTGATATCTTTCATGTGTGAAAATTATTTACATCTACTGAATGCTTACAGTATGATATCTTTATTGTCAGTCATTTACTTGCTTGAAAACATATAATACTCTTTTTTTAAATGGATGACGGTGAGTTAAGTTTAGCTCTATTGCTACTCCCTTTTATAATAAATAATAAAATTTTCAAGTTCCCATGTACCCACTTCAGTGCTCACTACATTCTTATTTATTTTCTTCATCAGAAAAGGTTATTAAATAAACTATTGAAGAATTTAATAACCCTTTTTATTATAACGTTTTTCATTAGAATACTTGTAAATTGTGAAAAAATAATTTCAGGCAAAATGTTTTGCTATGTCTGTGGACTGATTGATGAACACTATGATGAGGATTCCTTAATACATCACAATGCGACGCCAAAACATATCTGCAACAAAATATTGCATGCATTTAAGCAGAGAAAGTAAGTCCTTTCATTGATCTTTAATTGAATGCATTTTGCACACTTATTATTAGCTTTGCGTATACTGTTTACTGAAATACTTTACTGGTACCGATATAATAATCTACTGATATACTTGTACTATTTACTTTTTTTTAGAAAAGTACCAAAACCAATGATATTCATAATGTAAAGATTATGTATCTTTTTATATATTTGCTGTGAATTTATAACATAATTTTCAACTGCCATCTATGCATGCAAAGACATAATAATATATGAAATTTAATTTAAATAATTAAACAGGAGATACTTCAGTAAAAATCGAGATGGTGCCATTGTGCTGGGTAGTGGAGAATGTGTGTCCGAGATTGATGAGGAAAGTGAAAATCTTGAAAAAACTGATCATCTAAGAATACAAGTTGTGGTAATTATTTTGTTCCTATAAACAACCTGGATATGTGTGTAAAATTTAAAATTATGAGCTATTCATAAAGTTTATTGGTTTTTATAACATTGTGTTAAACACATTGTCTTAAAAATGTTAATAAATTTTGGTACCAGCAGACCAATCCTCTTTATATAACAAGTAACAAATATTTAACAAGTGAAATTGTTATCTAGAAAGAATACTGTGACCTCTCATGCTTTAAAAATGTAAACCTATTCCAATCATTATGTAACAGCCTATACAAGTTACAATGCTCACAAAGACATTCTCTGTACAGATGGTATAAAACCATAGTCAACCATGCAACCTCACTGTGGATTGGCATACTTCACATATATTGCAAATGTTTCTTTTTATCATTCTTTCAAAACCGCATGTTTCCTCACAATTTTTTTCTTAACTACTGAGCATGTGATAATTTAGCACATAAAACTAACAATGTCATTGATGCTGGCACAGGTTTCTAGTATATTGAATTACAAGTGAGCACCTAGACACTAAGCTATCATGCGGTACAAAAGCATCATGTTATGAAAAATAATATATTTCTTACTATTAATAGATATAATTGTATTGTATATATACATATAATGACAAGTATTAATTTCTTAGTACAACTGATTTTAAGACTTTTTAATTTAAATAAGCATTGTCTAATAACGCAACATTTATCTTTCTTACTACCGCTGCAGTTAGAGTTTAAATTTAGGCCCTAATAATAGTGATGAAAAGTAAAATTGACATTTTTCTGACTAGACTATTTTGGTGACGAAATTCAAGTTTACCACATGCCTCGCGTAAATACTTTACGCGAGGCATGTGGCAAATTAATGCCCACCCTCGGTGTGGGTTCCCAGTTTCCTCATTAATATAGAATGCAAAAGTATAATATTTCCCATAAACAGTGGTTGTCAGTGAGGTAGTTATATTTCCTGGAATAAGTTTGTCCAAATTTGTCACATCTGAGAACTGAGAATCTGAGAACTTTTTGAATGAATCTATGAAATTTTCAAAACCAGAAAGAATATTTTGTTTTTGTTAAAAATTGACATGATTGTGGTAAAACAACAGCTGGAACTTAACTGCTTCTCCACAAGTAAGTAGTAAAAAGTGTAACAAGAAGAAAAAGTGTAACAAGAAGAAAAAGTATTTTTTTTTCTGTGCCTCATCTGGTGACTGGGGCTGGCTACTTATTATTTTGATGGCATGTCTGCAAGGACAAAGGACTAAACATACTTGAGTTTTATATATATCTATTGGCAGCGGTAGTTATTCATTAATTAATTATTTAACATAAGGCGAACAAAAATTGTTATATTGAATGGGCAGGTGATATGATAAAAAAATTATTTACTTTACCATGTACACTTATAATATATGTACAATTAGTACTTATTATAGAATTTGGTACTAATCCTTTAATTTGAAAAGTTCACCAAAACAATATGATTTCTTAAGTTTAATTTGTTATTCACTTTATATTTGAAGTTATACTTCTTTAGATGCATTATGAAAAAATTTTTAGACTGAAATTTTAAATTGTGCGTGCATCATTTTAACACAAAAGTAACACCTTTGAAGCTGCCCGCTAAACCGCTTATTTTTTTATAATTGGCACAGATAAAGAATGTGAATGACATTTTCATAATTTTATTATTTCTATTTATTTTTTCTTTTTTGTTATTTTATTGTAATTATTTATTTGCATGAAATTAAAAACTATTTTTAATGCAAAGAGGTGTAACATCTCACGCGCGTACGTAAGTACGCGCACCCATTTTTTACCAATATTTACTAACAGCACCAACTTTATTTGCAGGCTGAACCTAACCAGAAAGTTAAATTTTCATTCACTGTAAGAAATGACCTCCAAAAAGAAGATTTGATGATAGTCGGAATTATTTTAGGTCACCCACAACCACAGTTTGTTATGAGTAATAATCCTTATGTATTTGGTAAAGATCCCCATGTGTTGGAAAAAAGTAAGTAATTTTTATATATAATTTCATAATTTATGATTTTTACAGTGCTGCACAGAGAAGAATCACAACATTGGTAATAAATGTGCACATGATGGGAATGGATTGTTTAATTTAAAATAGATTTTCAAGAGAGGCCATTAATCAAAGGAGAAGAAATATAAATTAAAAGTCATAAAAGTTCTTCTCTTTCCACTTTTGATATTTTGTTTTAATTTACTTGTGACTTCAAGAGGTACAATCAAAATGCTATGTTACAGAGACTACTTTAGTGGAGAAAATAGTTGTTTTATTTAAATCTGCTGATATTGGACAATTTGAGATGCCCATAATATTTACATTTAATAGAAAAAGTGATGACAAGAATATTATTATTGTACGAGAGTTGGTAAGCTTAATTTTGGTTTTCGAAATGGTACCAAATTATAATTTTGAGAAGGAAGCAAAAGCAGCCCTGCACTGGTACAGTCAACTCAACAATTTTAAAGCAATTTCACATGCATATAATATTAAAATATAAAGATACTCAACAACTCGACAACTAATAGTTTGTCAAGCTTATTTCTTTTTCTGGGGTTGATTTTGACTTGGTTTTAACAAAAATTATTTTGTTATTTGGTCAAACCGGAAAACAATTATTATATTAGGCCTAGACAATAATTTTTTAGTTCATTAGTCTGTTTTACAAATGTATTGATGATAGCAATTAATTAAAAAAACATTTTAACATTCATAAACAAAACTAAAACAAAAAGTTAGCTAACTAATAATAACCGATAATAATAACATTTTGAGTAAGACTGTACTTGATCAGAGGTGTGATAAAGTGTGTGTTTTATACATTGCTTTAGCCCAAACTAGCATAAAATTGCCCTTTGCACCCTTCTGACTCCCGTGCACACCCAATATTGGCCATAGCGCCGAAACCTTAGTACAAAGTGATTTATTACATTAAATAGTATTTACTGAAATATATAATTAAATATCATGTTTATAGATTGTCTCTGTGAGTGAGGAACACATTATTTACCCACACATAAAAACTCCCTATACCAAAGAGGAGTGGGCTAGACCAGATCATATAGTACAGTCTTCAAATCTTATGTAAATATTATTTTTTTATTATAATTATGTTCAAGGTAAATCTCTTTTTTGTTCTTTCTTGTGTATATGTAACAACATATATTCTTTTTTTTTATTTTAGTCCTCAACAGACAATGTTCAAAATACCAAAGCTCTTAAAAACTCTCTTACCATGCGGTATAGAAGAGAAATCATTGGAAAAAATAAAAGCACCTCGTGAAATTAAAGAAAAACTACAGCTGTTAATTATTTCCGTTAGGTAATTATTCATTGAATTTAAATGTTGTTCTTAATTTTGCACAAAAGTATTATAATTAGAGAGATTATGAAAATGAAATCTTTTACAGAGCAATTTTAGACACTGGACCAACAAAAAGCAATTACATGAATTTTTTTCATCATTTACTATGGTGGGAAGAAATTATTGCTAAAATCAACTTGAAGGTATAAAATGTGTTTTTTTTTTCAAGGCCAAGCATGCATCTAATATAGCTGATATAAACCATTTGCATACAATGTTTTAACTTCATAAAACATGCATATGTAAAGCTAAAAGTAGTAACACTAATCACTTAACATTCTTCACTTCATTCATCATTACTTTTGAAAAAAAAAAAATTCAATTTACACACATCCGATTGGGATTCACAACTCGACATGCTAACTTAAGCTTAGAGTACTAAATAAAAAAAGTTGTATGCAAGCTGGTACAAGACTCATACCACATTTACTGCTTAGTGTACAGCGACTGCCTTACAAACAAAAGCTTCAGTGCCAGTTTTTTCTGTTTACATGCAAGGACTAATGTCATCAACAAATTTTATTTTTGCTTGTACCAATAGAAGTTATTTCATTGCAGAGATACAACATGTTCAATGTGACAATGGAGCAAAAGAAAGATGTATTCTTCCTAGAAGTGCCAGGGTTGGCAGAAAAGAGGCCATCCTTAATGCGTGGTACATATAACTTTATTTCTTAACTGTGTTCTTGTAAAATAACTTATATAAATATTATGTATCCCATATACCTTAAAGTTTCATGACTATAACCGAAAGTTATTTGTCATTGTCCAATGAAATGTGTGTAGCACAATAGTTAAACATAGAACTCATACATATCGGCATACTATTTAGTTTTGCTTGAATTATTTGCCATGGTTTATTATTAAATACTGCCAGATATTATGCACTTCTAGTCACCTACTGTTGCATCAAGCAATGATTTATTGGCATGTGATTTTATTAAAATCAATTTGCTCCCTATTGGTACTTCACTTATTAGTGCATTTTCAAATCTTTCAAGAATACTGGGAGTGTTCACAGCATTATATAAAGATTAAATTTTATTTAAACACTTTGTTATTGTGTATTAGGGCGTAAATCGCCCTTAAACTTTTTCAGAAAAACCACACGTTTATCGTACAAGTTTTGGGATAAAATAATATATTATCTTGTAGGAGACAGAGTGTTTATTAAACCACGTGACAACCCTTCGATAGTATTCGAGAGCAGTGTGAAAGACCTGAACGATACTCATATCCAATTAGGGAACATGGATGATGCGTAAGTTGAGTGTTATTGCTTATACCAAGAGCCATGGATGCCAACTTAGGAGTTTTCTTCCTGTAAATAATAATTATTAGAAAAAATTTACAATTTAAGTTTTTTTGGAGGTAAATTTAAACCAAAACATACTAAATGTTTCTCATTTCAGGGGTTATGATTAGAGTTTATTGAATTTAAGTGGGTTTTTTAATTACTTTAGGAGTTTTTTTTAACTGTTGGTAACACTAAAGAGCACTCAGATACGGAGCTATAAGAATATGGATGTGTTTAGCAATTTTTAAGTAAAAGTTATTATGAGCATCCTAGAAAATCAACTTTATAATGTATACAGACAATGAAATTATATTCTCTGTAGCATGTTGGTAGCGCGCCCAAAATGAAGCCACGAAAATGCATACCAATTGGGATGTATCGTTCTTAGTTCACATTAGTAGTGCGGCGAGTAAAACGCGGTGTCAAAAATTTTAAAATAATAAAAATGCCGTCTTGTGTCTTTAAAAGATGTACCAAGTACACTCCATGTGCCAAGTATTATGTCCTCCATGTACAAAGGATGTACCAAGTAGACTCTAAAGTTAACAAAAGTCAGGGGATCTCGTGGTATCATATACATAATGCAATACTTCGATTTATTTGTATATGTCAATAATTTCCCTAATATTTTAAGTTGTAGGATAGAAAACAAAGAAAGCTGCAACAAATAAATTTAATAAGAGGACTTTAAAGAGGGATGCACCTCCAGACATAGACTAAAAGTCCAGATACGAATGTCGTAGGCAGTAAAGTCACCGTTATTCCACAGTTTGGTTTTTCTTTTTTGTCTATTAATTAATAATATGTAGGTACTACTGATTTTTATGTAATAATTAGTTAACTATAAAATTATTGAAAAGGTACTCAAATAAAACTTTACATATTCAAACAAGTTATTAAAATTAAGTAGTAAGCGTAGCATGCTAAGCTAATTATATATATATATATATATATTATTAATTTTCTCATGACTTCTTTTTCTCCATTTAAGTTTCTAACTAAGAGTGGAATGCATTCATATGTAAATAAAGAAATGAATCTGATCAGACGTATTAAAATTTCGCATCTTGAAAACTTTTTAAATTCCAATATAATTGGCTCAATTTTTGTACATTCAAAGCAATATAATTTCCATTCCACTCATAAAAATAATCCCGAAATAATAAAAAAAACTGTGTGAGACACAAAAGAAATAAATTGAATATCTTCCAAGGTATAATTGTATTTTATTGTAAAATGAAATATTTTTTTCTTTTTTATAGTATTGCATTTCTTACTTATATAGTAATACATAATACATAGTATAGACTATAAAATATCACTGGTTTACAGAATATAAAATATTTAGTACTTTTTACTTCCAAACTGTTTATTTTCTCCATTTTTGTGTCAACTATTTAAAATTGGTAATTTAAGCCTTGGGCTTAACTATTGTAAGTGAACTAACAACAAAAGTAGTTGTGATTGTAAAAGTTCATATGAGCTGTCCTACTTAATTTAGTATAAAAATTACATAAATTTAACTTAAAAATTAGAATTTTGTTTCGGTGTAAATTGATGGATTTCTTGTGCTACTTGCTTCAGATTCCAAATGTACTCTCAGAAGGGCACTTTGTTCGACATACGCTTTCTTCTGTCCCGAATGCAATTTGAGCGCATGCACACAGCGGTGAACTCCATCTTCTCTTCTAAGCAAGAATGTAGATTGTTCCCTGAGGCCCCAAAACATAAGGTGCCCGTACATAACATTAAAAAGTAAGTGCAATTAAGAAAAATCTAACGATCTTATATTTAAAATTCGATGTGTGTGTGTGTTCGTATTTTGTGCGCTGCCACACTGTTCATCCCATGCAATAAAACTTTGTGAACTTATTGCTTGCACTAAAGCGAAGGTTGTAGCTTGTGGGTGTATATATGTATGTGTTTTGATTCTGTTGATGACGAAATTATATTCTACTGACTGTTTAAATCTAATTTTGCTTTTATCTGTTTAGTTTACGCATGCTCTGTTTAATCCTTGAGTTTAGAAATAAAATAATTTTTAAAATGATTTAAACTTATACCATATTTCTCAAATTTATAGTTGTTGTTTTTTTTTTTTTGGTAAATATAAATGAAATTATCACAGGTTATTGCCTAAAGCGAATAATGCTTGGTATTTGTATTTTATTTATTAAGACATCTTCCTTTAACATCTCACTGCTATGCAAAGAGGATTTTAAGACGGGCTGATCGTTAAATTGCGCCACCGAGCACACCTCAACTACTGTTTTTCATATCAATTATGCAACATTTAACTCCATATTAGCTAGCTAGACAATTTGCTATTGTTTCTTTTATCAATTAGTCTGATTACTTACTCTTAATATTATAATAAATGCTGCAAGTCAACTAATTAACATGAATTGATAGCTTTCCTTATGCCATACCTTCTTGCGTAGTGTTGAAGAAAATTTTTATTATAGCAGGGATTTGCTAGACTAGCGTCTAGCGTTACTTTTGCATTTTATATCTGCCCAGTGCTATGAAATTAAAAAAAAAGTAATTAAAAATTAACTTATTTATATATATTACTTAGTACTAGTTTCTACTTTCTTTAGACCTTGCACCAAGTCTTGCCCCTTTGGCTAAAGCAGCAATGCTCAGCAAGGCAATTCCAGGAGTTCTTCAAGTCGGTCAATCAGCCTAACCCTATTTGCCATATTTTTATATCTACTGAAAAAGACTGAAATTATAATGTTTATATTTCTAGTCTCTAGTTTTAAGGCTTAACTAAAAGTTGTAGTTTACTTCAATATTATAATAATTGGTCAAATATTTAGTTGCGAGTTCAAAATTCAAGGAAATACTAAGTTTGAGTTCTTGTTAGAAAGCATTATATATTTTTTGGTTTGACAACTTATAAAAATAAAATAGACGCCGCAGAAGGATTTAGTTTTTGATTAACACTTGAATAGAATTGATGGCTATTTGACAGTATAGAGGGCAAAATGTGCATATTTACGATCAGTGAATAATAAGTAAGCGATCAGTTACGTAATACGAATTTTTTGACATAGAGCAAACGATCGCGCACAATTGTCGCTGATCGCTTGCTGGTTGCTAATTTGAGCTGATAAGGCCGCCGAAACAATTATCTGGGGGACAGACAAACATTAGTCCCACGAATCGAACGACACTAGCCAATAGCTTAGCGACTGCGCCATCGAGTCATCCTTTACTATGAAACATACTTAATTCAATCTTGCTTAGTAGGCTGGTAGTTGCTTAGTAGAGCCGCGATAGCTCAATGTCCGTGCGTTCGCCCTTAATTCAATATACTCGAGTTCGATCCCCGTTGCAGGCACCTATGAAATTGTTAATTTCAAGTGCTGAATTATCACGTGCTCAGCGGTGATGGAAAACATCGTGAGGAAACCTGCATATTTTCGAAATAATAATAAAAAATATTTCTAAGATATGCGAAGTCCGCCAATCCGCAGTGGGGCCACGTGGTGGACTATGACCTGATACCCTGATACAGAGGAGGCCTTTGCCCAGCAGTGGGACATGTATAGGCTGATACTTTACTCTACTTTAGTAGGCGAACTGTACATAGTAGATCAACATCGGTACATAGTAGATAGGGCTCGAAAGCTTTCGTAGTGAATTGCTTAACTGAAGCGTAGATCCTGGATCCTGGATGTTGCAAAAGAGAATGGTGTAATGTGATTGTCATGAAGTAAGGTGACATGGGTAATTGTTAATTCCGGTAAATATTTGACTTGACACTTCCAGATTCTACAATCCGCTCATCCGTGGGAACACGGAGCAAAGATCCGCCGTGGAACACATACTCGCGGGCTCATCAGGGAAGGCGCCGTATATTGTATTTGGCCCACCCGGCACTGGAAAAACCATGACCATAGTTGAGGCTATTGTACAGGTGTGTACGTATGAAAACATAACCTTACTTCGGCCCACTAATCATAATGTTTGATGTGTTCATTATTTCGATTAATAATCCTAAAACAATGCTTATTAATCACCTCCAATGGAAAATAATGTTGTATGGGTATTTATTAACGTTCAAACATTAACTATTGAACCTTTTACCGGAAAAATCTTTTAAACAGTACCATCTTTAACTTGATCGCTGGTAACTGTGAATAAGGAATATGCACGCGACCTATAAATGTAAATGGTTAAAAGAGTTCACTTAAATTTCGCAATAAAAGTTGTAGAAGTATATAACTTTTTCATTCTAATTTGTCAATCTTTGATATTTTTTAAACATTTAAATGCATATTCCTTATTGTATGGTATTCATAACATTATAACAATTAACTGTTTCTGCTTCAATTATTAACTGTTTTAACAATTCCGACAGCTTGTTGCCCGTAATCCCAAAAACAGGATAATGGTGTGCACCGACTCCAATATGGCGGCGGATCATATCGCTGTGATGTTATTACAATACAAAAAAGTATTGAAAGTTAACGATTACCTCCTACGTGCAAACTCGCAGGCACGGGAATGGTATGTAATTTTAATTGTTCAATCTTTATATGTAAAAATTTAGTTTGGTTGATAGCCGTTAGATTGATTTGATATTTGTTCACAACATAGCTATGGAACAGGAGAGTTTTTATATCTTACTCTTTATTCCGAAGTTCCAACGTCAAAATCATAATCGGGTTCAGCTAGTCATCAAATAAAAAAATAACGAATCGTTATGATTTATTGTACACAAAAAATATTTTGTTTAATGAAACTACTTAACACGGATGCTGAATTTCAGCCTCCACAGTCTCGATACGGATCGAGGCATTTTCGTCGAGAAATATAACCAACATTCAACTCGATAAAATGTCTGATATAGTTTAATTTAATTTACTTTTCTTGGCTGTCTAATATTAGTTTTTTGGAGATGAGAAATAATTTGCGAAGGGTCGTGTCGCCAAAAATAATCCCCGCAACTGCTGGAAGTAAAAGTGCGTTCACTAATAATAAAATCGCACACTGCCCCATTAATTGCTCCTGTTATCGTTACATGCCTGTTTCCGTTGTATGTTCCTCCAACGTTGGCTCGGTGTAACGTGTAATTTTTATTATATATTTGTTTTGTTGTTGACATGTTTGTACACACGCTGGACGCATCGGTTATGTCTGTGATATCTTATTATCGTTTAGGGGTTGCCCATTAGTCACCTGATAATTTTTAACATTTTAATTATTAACTATTTATTTATTTTTTCTAAACAAAATCAAAAAAGGGGGTTCACTCTCCCCCACTTTGGCACCTTACGTGATCAATGGACAATCCCTTATTGGATATGCGTTTTTGTCAATTGATAGAGCTGTAGTTGCTTCCGGCCAAATCAAACCCTTCACCATTCCCAAATGATTGTAACAAAATTATCGTTGTCATGTTCATAAATCTGCCTTATTCAGTCGCTTCCTTAAATATAATATTGATTGCATAAAACATTATATAATATTTTTTTTATATATTTTTAATAATTTACAAACATATTTAGGCAGACGTGAGATTTACTAATACTATACTGAAAATCTTTAGTCTACTTCTCTATTTTTGGTAAAAAAAAATAAGTTTAGTTATTAAACTAATGGCGTGGCTACAATATGAAACTTGAGTAATAATACATAGAGATCATTATCTCGTCATATATCCATAAATTATAGTTTGGTCTTACATTTGTATTTGTGACAGGTCCGTAATGCCGTCAGTACTAGTGCCAGTTTCCAACGGAGCCAACTACGAAACTTTCTACACAGTGAACAACGCGAAAGTCAGCAAATACAGAATATTCGTGACCACTTTACTCCACGCCGCCAAATACGGATGGTGAGTTAACTTTTTTGGTGGTGACGTCCGCTGGAGGCGGTTTCATGAAAAGAAGACCGGTTCTTTGACCGGTCCTTTTTAATAATGTGGGCCGAGGCTGCCTCACTCACAAGACGAAACGCAGCAGTGTAACACTTCTACTTTACGCCGGTCTTCTGCGAGGTAGTGGTACTAACCCGGACGGACCTGCCCATTCGTGCAACAGCGAATACTGTTGCGTGCTCCTACCACAGTTCTTTCAATCTGTACCCACAGGTTGAAACGCAAAGGCGACCAAAAGCTGCAGATGACGCATCTGTTCATCGACGAAGCGGCCCAGGCCTCGGAGCCGGCCACTTTGGTGCCGATCACCGGGCTGCTGGCGCCCAGCGGCCAGCTGGTGCTGGCGGGGGACCCCCAGCAGCTGGGGCCCGTCGTCTTGTCCAAGGAGGCCAGGATCAGGGGACTGAGTGAGTGTTCACTGTACCCGGATCGTGTCTAAAGCTTTTGTTTTTGTTATTATCTCGAAATTGCGAATTTCTTCACGATGTTCTACTTCACCGCTGTGCACGTGATAGGTACGTCAGTCAGCACTTAAAATTAACTGTTTCGTTGGTGCTGGCGTTGGGATTTGAACTCGGATCGCTCGAGTTGAATCGAGTATCGACTATATTGAAGTGAGCGCCCGGACAATGAGCAATACATCGTTTACTTTACCGCATGCCGAATACTTTTGTCCGCAGAATATGGCCGAATAGTATTCGGCGTGTGGCGGAGGTATAGTAGGAACTATTCATTGCTAGTCTAGTAGGCTCATTTTTGCTTTTACAGTATTTTTTTTGTTGTTGAAGCTCTTCTTGATCCGTGTGCGTTAACTGTTATTTTTTACATTGTTTAGAAAAAGGACGACGCCAATAAAACACCCATGAGTAACCAGAAACTGTTGAATACAGTTATAGCGGTAAAGACACCGCGTGTACACAAGCATATTTTTTATGTGAAAATTGTCAAGCGAGCAGGTCGCCGCCCATAGACGTCCCATCTACAATATCCGGTGACTTGCATACTTAAAAAAGTGGGCTCCCGTTACCTAACTCACCAGACGAAACGCGAAAGCTTTGCACGCCGGTCATCTGCGAGGCCGTGGTACTTCCCTGACGGCGTCTGCCCGTTAGTGCAATAGCTTTCGCTGTTAGAATATTAGATACTGCTACATCTAAACAATAAGTAATTAAAAATCGAAAGTATGTTAAACCACAGGGGGGACTCTTTACCGAGGAGGTCTTTGTCCAGCAGGGAGGGTATACAGCGTGTCGTTACAACCGCGACAATAAATGAACACACGTCTAACGCTACTTGCCAATAATCATAAAACATATGAAACGTTAAAAAATCCATAATTAAAAAAAATTAAATTTTTTTTTTACTACTGATATTTATTTTTACCTTTATCATGTATACAGGGTGGCTTTTCTAAAGATGCCCAAATTCATACAGGAGGTTTTAGATTCGGTAGTATAATGGTTTATTGAAAAAAAACTTTTTTTCAAAAAAATCCCCTTAAAAAACCTAACCCGTTGGACAATGCGATAGTCATTCATAAATGCGTTGTATACTTTTGAAACAAACTTGTGTGCGTGTTAGTTATGAATGATCGCGCATAAAATAAATGAATTGCCCATAAATCACGCACTTTTTGAGATAACTTCAAATGAATGTATTTGTATTTAATTACGAGTGATTTTAAATATTTATCATTTTTATAGAACATTATTTGTGTCTATACAGCGTGTCGTTACAACCGCGACAATAAATGAACACACGTCTAACGCTACTTGCCAATAATCATAAAACATATGAAACGTTAAAAAATCCATAATTAAAAAAAATTAAATTTTTTTTTTAAATGGGGCAAAAACTGAGAAATGCCGCCCACGTCCACTGATATTTATTTTTACCTTTATCATCTATACAGGGTGGCTTTTCTAAAGATGCCCAAATTCATACAGGAGGTTTAGATTCGGTAGTATAATGGTTTATTGAAAAAAAACTTTTTTTCAAAAAAATCCCCTTAAAAAACCTAACCCGTTGACAATGCGATAGTCATTCATAAATGCGTTGTATACTTTTGAAACAAACTTGTGTGCGTGTTAGTTATGAATGATCGCGCATAAAATAAATGAATTGCCCATAAATCACGCACTTTTTGAGATAACTTCAAATGAATGTATTGTATTAATTACGAGTGATTTTAAATATTTATCATTTTTATATAACATTATTTGTGTCTAGAATTTAATTTAAAAAAATGGTTACACTTAGAAAAGGTATAATTTCAGCTATCTGATGTCCACTAATTGATTGACATTTGAAGAAAGCCTACGTAAGCCTTCCGAAAATTTGCTGTTTCTTTTGCACGGAAAAAAGAAAACGGGAACTTGTATAGTTTAAAATAGTAACGTGGCAAACACGAGGTGGAAAAATTACAATTTCAAATAAAGTTGACAAATTCTGTAAATCTGACAGTTTAAACTCTAAATCTTACATTTTAAAACTGTTAGTTTTACAGAAATGTAATATATACTATGTGATAATGCAATTTTTCCACATTGGCGTTCTAAGCCCGAGTTAAGTTACTATTTCTTTATTTCAAAATATAAGCGTTCCTGTTTTCTTTTTTCCGTGTGTGTTAAGCCAACTTATTTACAGATATATAGCGTGTCGTTACAACCGCGACAATAAATGAACATACGTCTAACGCTACTTGCCAATAATCATTAAAAAATCAATAATTAAATTTTTTTTTTTACAAACAAACTAATTAAGTTTAAAAGAAAACAAATTTGTAACATCCTCCTATACAACTACAACTGACTGATTCATACATTTAGAGACATTTTCATTCGTTGCCACAGCGTCTGATTACAAGCCTCTCCTTCTAACAATATGTTTTATCTCTTTTACATTCATTCAGCCCATTCATATGCTTTGTGACCTTTACAAATGAACTTTACGTTACAGTTTTATACGAAAGGTTGTTCTAAAAATGTTTGTTTTATAAAATTTTATAATTCGGCAAATATTGATGTTTAAAGATTATAAATGCTTAATACAATTTTAAACAGTTATCCTCTATAAGGTTGTAACGACACGCTGTATATGCGGTTCCTATATGCGGTTTCTTGAATTCTAGCAGTGTGCGTCCTTAATCCACATTTGTCTGCAGGCTTTGGCGGCGCCCGATCCGTTGAGCAGGAAGAGCATCCTGAACCTGCCCGGCGGTGACCGTGCCATTGTGTTCCACGCCGTCAATTCGAGGGAGCAAAGGATGGGGAACGCACCCAGGTGATGAACGATCTCAGTTTCACAGATTTCCCAAGCAGTTTCACACGTTACGCAAGAAACTTATCTGATACTAATAGTCATTGCACTGAAAGTATTGTCTTCTCGTTCGTGTCGCAGTCAAAATTGCTTTCCGTCCGCTCCTAAATATGCAGTTATGCTCCTAAATGTGCAGGTATTGTCCAACTGTGCAGTTATACTCTCATATGTGCAGTTATGCGCCTAAATGTGCAGTTATGATCCTAAATGTTCAGTTATGCTCCCAAATGTACAGTAATCGCCATCATCGTCGTCAAATAAATTAAAAAACAATAGCGGCGGTTATGACTAAACATCAGGTTAATCGCCAACTCGCTAGAAGGTGGCAACTTTTCACGTAAAAAAGTTATGCTCCTAAATATGTAGTTGATAACTTTAAACGTGCATGTTGCTATAAATTTGCTGTTACGAACAACGACGTCGTTGGTTTGAGGTCTTCATAACACAACACACTCGAAGCGAAACTGGCGAAACCAACACACATTGTACACAAGGTACACCCGCGTTAGACGTCATGGTCCCTTTCGACGGTCCGTAGCCGAAAATCCATTTTAAATAATTTTATCAATGTACCCATGTCCACATGCGTCACTCTGCTTAAGTAGCTCTGCGTAGATCAAGCTCGTGGAAACCTATTCATCCCACGATTTCATGTGCCCGATAAAGCTTATACAGAGTGGCTTTTCTAAAGGTGTCCAAATTCACACAGGAGGTTCAGACTCGGCAGCATAATCGTTTATTGAAATAAAAACAAACTTTTTTTTTTCAAAAAAATTGCCATTCCATGCCCTAAAAAACAGGACTTGTTGACAATGCAGTACTTAGTCATTTATAAATGTGTATACTTTTGAAACGAACTTGTGTGTGTGTTAGTTATGAATGATCGATTGAATATAAAATAAATGAGTTGCCCATAAATCACACACTTTTTGAGATAAGTTAAAATGAATGTATTTAATTAATTACGAGTGACTAAATATTTATCATCTTTAGTATAACATTATTTATGTCTATAATTTAATTTAAAAAAAAATGGATACACTTAGAAAAGCCTCCCTGTATAGTCTACGGGCTGAAAGCGCTAACATCGAGACACAAAGATTGCTTTTTTTTGGTGTCATATATTTGGTGGTTTTATTTTTTTTTTAATGTGCGAAGGGTGCTAGAACAAGCTGGCAGTACACCTGACGTTAAGTGACAACCGCCGCCTATTGATGTTAAGTGACACCCGGTTGCAGATGGATTGCCACCTTTTGATAAAGTAGGCTCTGGCTACTTGACGACGAACCGCAGAATTATACCACTTTCACTTCACTCGGGTCTTCTTTGATTTCGTGGTACTTGCCCGGACGGACCTGCCCATTCATTTTCGACTGCTCTACCACGGTTAAAATAATAAATTATTTTATTAAGCGTTTACACGATTTTCGCAATAGAAGATTCATGCTCAATATTAGAATAATTCCAGTAATTTAATCTCCACATTCAGCCGCTGTATTGTCGCTGAATACAAGACGCTGTTAAACCTTTTGCGGAACAATTTCATACGAATATACATTTTATTATAACTAAACATTATATAATTTACGTTAACAGCTTGGAATCTGTACGACATTCGCAATCGATTATTATTTTCAGCTTCTTTAATGAGAAGGAATTGGAAATGTTAAAGAAATACGTTAAAGCTCTTTTGGATAATCATCAAGTTGCTGCCAAGGATATAGGAATAATTGCACCGTACATTCGACAGGTAACCCTGAACAAGTTTTCTGACTTATTTTATACCGAAGAGTATACATCATGTCTCTGCTTAGATATTTTTATAAATATGGAATATTTTTTTAATCTCTTTTCAATGACTGATTCAGGTGTATAAAATGAAAAGTTGGCTCACTAGTATAGATCAAAAAGAAATCGAAGTTGGTACTGTAGAGTCATTCCAAGGTAAAGAGAAACGGGTGATTCTAGTCTCCACCGTCAGAGCGAACTGCCGGCTTCTTGACTACGACGCGAAATACGGCCTAGGTTTCTTAGTGGACGACAAGGTAATTAAATAAATATACTCAAAAGGCTGAATTCTCCACCTTAAGCTGTAGAACATTGATATTTTTGAAGTGAAAACTTCTATGGGCATGTTGGGGAGTTTTGGACGGGGAAAAATTCATAGGTTTGCGTCTACAACACGCCAATGTCATGTGTTTTGTCATTATCGCTAGTCACGGTAAATTTTTTTTAACATTTTGGTGTTTCAGTATTTGATCTCTGTAAAAATAAAATTGTCAAAATTATGGTTCATCGGTTTGAATTGTACGAAATAACACAGGTCTTTTGAGTTTTGTGAATTAGTTAAAATTATAAACTTCATTTAAAAATTAAAAAAATAACAGTTCATCCGGTTTTACGTTTTCAATTCCGTCGGAAGCCCCAGCTTATCTTTTTTTATTTCCATGGAGTTTCCATAATTGCAATATTTGTTGTTAAATTGTTATTCGTCCTTATTGCTTTTTTATATAAATAGGTGGGCATTGCAGCTCATGCAGTAAGCTTTAGAATTTTCTTATTTCTTCGTTGTTTTAATAGCAATTCACTTTACAGAGGTACAACGTCACGCTAACGCGGGCAAAAGCTAAATTGGTGATCATCGGCAATCCCGCCTGCCTCGCTAGGGACATCAAGTGGCGTAAATATATGGGCCTATGCAGCGATCTGAACTGCTATTATGGATTGGAGACACAGCAGTTGGAGCGAAACTCGCGGTTGCTTCTCGATATCTCACGCACAAGATTCGACATGTCGCGCCTTTCCGAAGAACTTGTGCCGGTAGTAGCAAACAACAAATCAGTGGGCCCTTCTTAAAAAGGAAACTTAAAGTATTCCACGATATAAATTTCAAAATTTTCGTATTGTCTTTATTAGTTATTAAGTAAGATTATTCATAAGTAATATTTTTAATTATAAGTTTACCTAAAGCTATTATTATTCTTACTGTTAATTTTTACCTCAAACTTTTCTCTTTTTTCTATCTCTTCTTTATTCTTTTTGATATCTTTCTATTATTTCTCTAAATAGTTTTACATTGCCCTTTTTATTTCATAATATTTATAGTTCTAGTGTGTTAGAATAAGACTTACATTTGGACTAGATAAAAAGGCTACAACTTGTAGTTTCATATTATAAGAACTTTTATCAAAGGTAAATGTTTATATAAATGATAACTGTCATTATATAGAACTAAAAATACACTGTATTTTATCCTAACTCTTAATTAGTGTGCCATCAAGTATTTTTATGATAGTAGTAATTGATTTGTAATATTTAACGAAAATTGACGCAGCATGATTCTACTTGCACTTTAACGTTTTATAAATTTAAGTAAACATGTAACATTAGGTACTACAGTTGTTGGAATTTTCAAATAATAAGGACTTGGTAATAATTAAGTGTGGACAAGACAAAGTTTATATTTGTTGCTATCAAAATTATTTCTTTACTTGCAAATCGTCCCATTTTCATATCGTAAAATTGTATAACATCTATATTATACGAGTTTAATTTGTGTAACTGTAGACAAGGTGCAATTTCGAACTTTTGGGTTATGTTTCGACCACATATTGTGTACTGTTTACAAAATTTTGTAATCTCTTTTAAACATACATAAATGTGGACAAGATTAGGTTTGTAACATTTAAGATCACTTATTATTATCTATAGTTTTATAAACATTAAGATAGACCCAATATTTATCGTCATGTGCACATTTTAGTAAGTTTAAATGATAGAGCGCACACATTTTTTATGATTTTCTACGAATTTAACATTAGTAGACTTAAGTTATTTAATGATTTAATACCATGTACACAGATACCAAATTAAACTTGGAATGTTACATCGTTGCATTTACAATGGGGCGAATATTTGCACAGCCAAACATTTTTTTTTTAATTGTTATTTACAAATTCTATCATTAATCTTATTGTTTTTGGGAAGTACCTAAAGTACTTAAGAAGTAAACTTATATATATGAAATTAAACAACAAATTATCTGATAGTTTACTGGCAGATTTACAAAGATTAAAAATTGGTCTATTTTCCAATCTACATATATTATTCTTTATAATTTTAGTCGCATTCAAATGGCACGAAAATACCGATAATAAATAATATTTTTGTTAAAGGAGTTTATAAATTAATTACAAATGAAATAGCACAAAACAAATATAGTTTTTGAGCTGATGATAACGATTTTGTTACTTTTTCATTGCTACCAAAGAAAATAGTAGGCTTAGTTGTTAAGAATGTAAATTTGTTAAGACCTTTTTGCAGTCAAGTATGAACAATTATGTTCCAGCTTCCCTACACGGACTATTATTTCATATCGCTACCAAAGTTCAACGCTGTTATAACGAACATCCAATTCCTAAAAAATGGTGTAGAATTAAAAGGTAGGAAGCTTGAAAGTATTCATACTGAATTAAAAACCATTGTAGACCCTTAATTTTACTGTCCATAACTTGCAAATTTCCATTATTACACTAAAGAAAATAACTCACTTTCATATTTAACATGTAAAGTTCATAATGATTATCATACAATATAATCATTAAATTGTAAAATAAATTAACGTTTTAAATAAATCAATTTCTCAATTTTAGTATTATATATTTTATGGTGATATGCCTTTTATTTAATGTAGTGTTTCAAGTAACCTAAAAATAATTTTACCTCACCATGGACACCTTACATTAAGAGACGGGGTGCTCGTAAAAAATATTTTCTAATTATATTTTTGTTTTAATAAGGCTGCTTGTCCATTTATGCGGAGCTAGCTAGACAGCGGGGCGGATCACAGGGGTATTTCGGAACTATATGCCGTATTTACGCGACGAGTTCTACTGATCGAAATTCAATTATACTATCCCATCTCCCGAGGCCAGTCTGTTAACAGCATATAATTATATATCGTCGCAGTCGTAGAACAATGACGGATCTACAAAACAGCTACTTTACAGGAGACCTCATTGAAGGTTCTGATATATGTTTTTGTTTATATTTTCCGAACGGCTAACTCAATCAACTTGAAATTTGGATATGTTAGTAAATGTGTAAAGTTGTTAATTATGACATACAAAATATATCCTTAATAGCTAGTTTTTAAGAAAAGTCAGATGCGTCACTTTACTATGGGCATGTATGTGACGAATTATCACAAACGTCGTTATTTTAGGGACAATAACTTGACGTATGTTAATTTACGTCATTTTTTTGGGGAAAAATGACAAAAATCTAGCGACGGATTCTACTTATTGATTAAAGCAAAAAGATTAATATACAATTGTCAAATAGTTTTATTCATAAAAACAAATCAAATAAAGTATACTGAATACCAAAACCAAAAAATCCTCTAAATTTTAAATATAAGCCTCAAGTAAACAATTAAAAAATCAACTGGATTAGCAAATAAACAGTTACCTACATTTTGGCCTGTTTCAATCCTCATATGGCGCTAATTAAACAGATAAAAGTGTGCAAGCGCCACAGAATTTTATCTGTCTGTTAGCGCTATCTGAGGGTTTAAAAACAGTAAAAAAAATAAAAATCATCAGCTCAAATAGGTTGCTGGCAAATTGTTCAATAATAAAAATATTAAATTATTGCAACGTTAACTTAGCATTTTCAGATTTTGCCCATTTCATAACCAGCTTCCACTCTTCAGGTGTGTAAATTACTTTGTGTTCCCCAGCTCTTTCAATCACAGAGTGAACAGAGTCACCTTCATTTTGAGTGTGCCCTTTTTCGAGAAAACGACGAATTATGGTGACTCCAAACTCCTTAGCTGCACGACTGTACATTGCAAAAACGGCTCAATTTATTTTGGCCAAAGCAGTTGTCAGACCAAAATCTAAACTCCTTAATTCCTTTCAAGGAAAATTCTTTGATAAAATTGAATAAGCAACTAGCTACCTACCTCATTGGATCCCCGGTTTGCGATACTCTTATCCCACACGTAGCAATAGCCACCTTTAGACGCTAAATCAAAAATAGTGAAATTGTAACACGAGAGTTTACGTTTGTAATACAGAACGCTTATTTTAGCGTGCGGACAGTTTAAAACCTTTTGAAAATTAAATGCACACAAGATGGTACCAATCGATTCGATTGCCTCGGTTTTATCATTTTGTTTTAGGTTGCGTGCAATATTTTTGTTGTTTTGGTGCTCCTCATAAGCTAGTTTCATTTACTCAGACGGAGCATCAGTGTGTTTAAAAATATGACACTGGTCACAAGTATCCTTCTTGGGGTTATGAAAAGATAGATTAAAATATCTGCTAACAATGTCTCGGTATTGTCGTAGTGATATTGCTTTAGTTGTGTAATTATCCAAATCGGGCCAAGTTTTGTACAATTCAAACATTCGAACGATACTTAAGCTATTAACATCGGTTGGTTTTAAAGAAGAAACGCAAGAAGTGGGCATTAGGTACTTCATAACGCTATTCGATCAGTCAATTATGTTATTAATTATTATGGTGAAATAAAAAGATACATATAAATATATATATATTAACGATATATATATGATACGATACATTAAAATTTGTAGAAAAAGTGCGAAAAGATTATCGCCGCTGTGATTTTAATGTTAAATCTTAAGTGCAGATATTAGTGTCATAGGTCATGGCTACATTATATATCAAGACAGATTAAGCATATGAATATGGCAAGAGGAGAGACATAAGAAATGGCTACTTGATAAGAGTACTTTCTGTTGTAATAAAATTAAATAAATAGTTCTCTCAGTGTATTACTGTATTTGATTTATAGTAAAAGTTCCCGAACACAAGAAAATCACAATTAGCACGATAAAAAATTTGAAGATTTGAAAAATTAGAAGAATATTTCGTAATAAAAACATTTTTCTTTTATATCTGATATTAGATTATTTATTTATAATGCATAGAGGTTTTATCTGAAAGAGAGGTAGGTATGTAATTATGCATTCTAAAGAAACATTAACACAGCAAAATAAGATTTTAATTACCAACACAGTAGAACCCTAATCATGAATACAAAAACTAATTCTTGTCAAACACGGTTTAAGGTAATTGAAACAAAATTTAAAGTCTTTTTATAGTGCTAAGCTAATCTCTGCACTTAAGATTAAACATTAAAACTTGTAGAAAAAGTATGAAGTTTGTATGCTGGAAAAGATATAACAATAGATGCGCCAAGCATTGCTTCAATTGCTAAATAACAATGTAGATAAAAGACGTTAATATTTTCGTCGGGGTAGCAATCAGCCGTTTAGCTTAGTGGCTAAAGAGTCAGGCCGCGAATGCCGAAGATGTGGGTTCGATTCTTGCAGCGGCAACAATCTTTTCGTATTTTTTCTAAAAGTTTTAATGTAACAAAATTATAAAATAGTTTGGGATGTCGATTAAATTAAGTTTTTTTTTATTTGTAACATAACAAACCTTTAATTTTTCAGCATTTTTAAGTTCTCAACTGTAGGGACACTAATAACACCATTTAGTTAGTTTCAGATGAAAGCATTAAGGGAACTAATGTTCTTGTTTTTATCACACACTGCAATATCAACAATAATTAGCCAAACAACAACTTCGAAATATTTATACAGTATCGATACAAAATTGCATGTGCTGCTGGTTACCGTACAGTAAAAACCGGCCAAGTGCGAGTCGGACTCGCGCACGAAGGGTTCCGTACCATTATCTATAAAACGGCCAAAAAATCATGTGTTGTATGGGACTTTATACTACATATTACACTTAAATATTTTTATAATATTTAAATAGAAATACAAATAAAGTTCTTGAGAATGCCGGCACGGTGAC